CGCCAGAACAAAAAAGAGGATCTCTCTATAGTTTATTTATAGCGTGTCAGGATTTTTTCTTTATTCGAATTTTAGCCTATACATTTTTTCAGGCTTTTTAATATTCTTTCTTAAGTTATTAATGTTCCGCAATTTTTTATGAGATTTTTTGAAAATTTTAAGAAAAGATCAAATATGAATTATATATAAATATAATAATATATATATTATATATTTTTTTATATATATATTATTATAATATATTATTATATTTATATTATATAGAATATATTATTATAATATATTATATATTTTTTTATATAATATATTATTATATTTATATATAATCCATATTTGATCTTTATAATATTTATACATTTATAAGGAAAGTTTGACATCATTGTTTTTTTTTAGTATGACGTTAAAATATTTTTAATACTAATCGATATTTGCATTTTCGAGAAAAAATCCATGCTAGAGATTAAGAATTTTGAGGGAATTCTAGCTTCTATTGTATTTAAATTTCAATGGATTCAAAAAAGTCAGATGCAGATGATAGCAGTTTCAAAGAAAATCATTTTTTTATTGAAATTGATTAATTGTGCAAAGACTTCTTAGTCCGGTACCAAATAATTAAATTAAATCCTAATTCAAGATTTTTCTTTAATAATCTCCTCTCCTCTTTACTTCCTTAAAGAAGCGAAAAAATTTGTGTCCTATGCACAATCAGTTATAATGAATAATTAAGTTTCCTTGAAAAATTAATATATAAATTAATATATAATCAATATATTAAGGAAAAGTAATTTTCCCCAAAAAATTTCCTAAGAAAATTAATTTGCGATTAAAACTAATTATATTTACTACACTGAAAAAAAGTTATTGAATTTGGATAAATATTTATTTCAATACTACCTAATAAATAATTTTTTTGAAACTACTAATAATATTGATTTAACGTGAAAAATATTTATTTGATATAAGAAAATCCTTTTCAAAATAAATAAATATTTATTTGTTTCAAATAAATGATTGATTAAGCAGTATTGAAATAATTATTTATTAATTTAATAATTTTTTTCAGTGTACCATATCAAGAAGAATCTGTTTCCTCGATTTTTCAAGAAAAATTAATTTTTCATCGAAATTAACGCATTACGTATTCACTCTTTCTGAAATTTAAATATGAATTTCACAGCCAAACTAAAATTCTTAAATCCACCCCTCAAAATTGTTCCCATAATTAACTTATAATCTTGCTAAACAAGACATTTCTTCGCACATATTTGAAAATTAAGCATTTGCTCTCCATTTGAATAAACATTAAAATTTATTTGCATATATTTAATATAAAAAAATGAAAATAAAACAAAATGTCAAAAAAAATAAATTTAAAGAAATTAAGAAAGAACAAAAAATAAAAAAAAATAGTTATGCTCTTGGAAAAAATCCTGCACACATTCAGCTCTCACGTCTCTCGCATTTCATTCGGAGAAATAGAAAAAATCTACGCGATACGATTGTTATATGATATACATGTATGCGATCTTTTTTTCGAAGATCGAGCGAGTCTTCTCTATTTTTTTTTTTTTTTTGTACTCGCTCTTCTTATCTCGTCAATGCCGCCGTGTCAACGTTCCTTGCTTGTGCCAACCGAGACCGCTATTTAGTTAGGACACAGAAATACTGGGATTTCGTTTGTTCTCTCTTGTAGTACGCTCTTCTTGGCTTTCCGCGTCTTCCTGCCAACGGACCTACTAGATCTCGAGCCTCCCTTCGTGACGTCTAAAGTACCCCGGTGTCATCTAACAATAGGATGAATCAATAGACCTGGTCAAAAAATATTGTCAAATGGCCCGACGATTTTTTTTGCTACATCATTTCGCGAAATAATTTTATTCTCTTAAATTTCGTCTTCGATACTTATTGTTAAATAACGTATGCAACTAATTAAACTATTCACGAAAATAATTAAGGAACAATTCGTAGAAATGACAGCTTGACAGTTCCAAAATTATATACACGGAAAAAAGAGAAGTGTCAAATAAATACTTATGTATACTCGCAACGATATAATTCTTCTTATAAGATTCTATAATCTTATAAAAATTTGCTAAACTTTAAATTCAACAATATATTAATCTTATTTCAATATTATATATTATATGTTGTCATCTGAAGAATAATTATAAAATATGTTATTTTATATGAAAAGATAAGTTATTTTCTATCCAACATTTTTTCCATTAAAAAAAATTATTCTTAAATAATAAGATTAAATATTTTTCTTGGCTAAACTATATATAAAATGTTTTCATTCAAATAAATTTTTGCATATATACAACTGAATTTGACACTTCTTTTTTTTCTATGTAGTAATTAAAAATTAATATAGAATATGTTTATTAGAATGAAATTAGAATATTATTTTATTTTTATAGAATAGTTTTTTTTTTCTAATTTTCATTATAAAAAAAAATATTTTACTCTTCATGCACTCTACATTTTGCAGCAATCGCAAAATTGTTTGCATCGAGAAATTTGCATCTTTTTAGACGGATCTTTATATATCCTCGGAGGAAAAAGGAGGGGAGAAAGAGGGGAGGGTTCAAGCCAGACGACAAATTAAACAACGCGAAAAAAAATTAAGAAACCCGCTTCCACCTTTTGCAAATAAAACGTCACGATTGCAAATCAATGCGTCGCGACGTTCCCGCGCGTTTTCAAGGTCGACGATCAAGGAATCACGGACGGATCCACGTTTGCTCGTCGAAAATATTGTCCTTTTGACTGTCGCGTCGATATACCTTTTGCGTTTCTCGTCCGCCATGTTGGACCGACATATGTATATCCGAATATCTCGCATATGCTCTCGTTTGCCGTTTTGCAAGACCGGTTAGGAAGATGATCCCGCGGGTTAAAATCACATTGTATGTGTATATTCCCTTCTTTTGTGACCCATCGTGAGATATTTCTATGTATACCTTTAAAAAATATGTAATATATTACATAAAAATATGTAAAATTACATAAATAATAAATGTAAAATTACACGATAAAAGATGAAAATGTATAGCTTTTCATTATTTATCGTGCACTTTTACATTTATTATATGTAAAATTACATATGTAATTTTACATATGTAATATTACATATGTAATTTTCATATGTAATATTATATATATGTAATTTTACATATGTAATATTACATATATAACTTTTATATGTAATATTACATATATGTAATTTTACATATGTAATATTACATAAAAAAATTATGTAATTTTTTATGTAATATTACATTATATATATATACAGTGTATTTCATAATTATTTTGCGATTGATCGGGAAAAAGTGTTAATTTCGAAGGAAGCGATCGATGTAGATGAAAAATATTTCTGAGTATTGTCAAGTTTATGATTTCGCAGTCGAAGTAATTTACGCGTGTGCAAATTAATTTTTCTCACGTCAGTTTATCGCCATGTCGTAAAAATGACGACACCTCTTCAGCTATTAGATTAAGTAATTAATTTTGCGAAAACATCTGTCGGCGTCTTTTAATACACCTATTTTCTCTTCCGCGAACTATTAATCCTCCTCTATTTACGCAAACAAATGTCACACAGTGATTCGATCGATATTTTAAATACAGATTTGTTAATTTTAGTTTGGTTCTTTTATAAATTTTATAGATTGTAATGCAATTCTCTCTTATATGTGGAAGATCTCGACACTTTTTAAATTTATTTAGTAACACGTCATGACATATGTATTCATAAAAAACTCTGGAAAATATAGTGGAACAATCATATTATAGAAATGGATAGCAATGAGTATAATATATATATTGTGAAGAATTAAAAGTGCTTTCGATGAAAAATATGTAACAATGCAAGAAAATTAAAATTTTATTCACGAAAAAAATTTGTGGATAGTTTTATTTATTCATGGAATATATTATATATTATTTTCACTTATTGTTAATTTCGAAAGACATATTTTCTTGAAAAATGCGATACTACTTACGTATAATATTTATATTTTCTTAAATGAATATCTAAAATGTTCCTTATATTATACAGAATTATTATTTTTGCATTAACATGTCGAAACGCTTCTAAATTACTTTATTATTTATTCGCACATTTTTAACTTTTATTCAAAATATCCTATTTTTAGAATATTAATAAAATAATAAATTTTATCGTACATTATATTTAAAATTTATTTCGTTTGCTGGTTAATCATTCTGTCAATGAACGGATACACAGATACTCGAGAAGCAACTTTAAATTTTAAATGTCAAAAATGTATTTAAAAATTTTATTTCTTTTGTTTGGGATTTTTTTCCTTGTAAATTTATTTATTCGTTTTGCTTTTAAATGCAATAACAATTTCCCGCGATTAAAAACGAGATTGTTCAAGTTAAGTTTCCCGGAGATTATTCGCAATTATTTAATAAAATTTATTTTCTCCTTAACTTTTCTATAAATAAATAGATGTCTAAAACAATAAATGCGTTGAAAATGTGTCTCAGAATTTTTCCCCACCCGAAATAAACTACAAAGGATCTTTTTTGAGAAATCTGAAATATAATATTGGGAAATAATGTTCGATTAGCTGCCCAGAAGTAGCTATAAAAGAAATTATCGCAGTGCAATGTGTCAAAAATATACAGCTAATACTCGAATATCTATATATTGATGAAAAAAGTGCATCTGTAATTATTGTTACATGCGTAACACACGATGTTTGAATATCAATTTTAAAAAATCGATTACAATTTTTTTTCTTTAAATAATCTCAAAATTATATTTCTATAAAATTTCTATATTTAATATATATTTTTAATATAATTAAAAATAATAAATATAATTAAAAAATAATATACATATACATATATAATATATATTTAAATATAAAAATATATTTATGAAATATAATTCAGGAAAAATATGCATCAACGAAAAAGTATGAAAAATCCAAGCTTGATCTAAAAATTCGGCGAACACTTTGCAGACTCCGGATCGGAGAGCGGATCCCACAAGGCGGGTGTCGGCGGCGTCCGTGGCTCCGGCGGCCACAAAAGCGGCGGCGGATCCGACGGCAAGCCTACGCGGGTGCGCACCGTCCTCAACGAGAAGCAGCTGCACACCCTGAGGACTTGCTACGCGGCGAATCCGCGTCCGGACGCCCTCATGAAGGAGCAGCTGGTCGAGATGACCGGGCTGAGTCCACGCGTTATCAGGGTATGGTTCCAGAACAAGAGGTGCAAGGACAAGAAGAAGACGATCGCACTGAAGCAGCAGATGCAGGAGAAGGTAAAGATTTATATGATTTTTTTTCTTTCAAACGTGAGATTATATTTTTATTATTTTTATTATTTTTAATATATTTTTTATTATTTTTTAATATATTTAATATATTTAATATATTTTTTTAATATATTAAAAATTTGATATATAAGTATTATATATTATTATACATAGGTATAATATATATTTTTAATATATTAAATATACATATATATATATATATATATATATATTAAATATTTTTAATATATTTTAATATGTTAAATATATTAAAAATATAATAAAAATATTTGTTCTCTGAATTTTTTTCGCGCGTGTTTATAAATTAAACTGACTGTAGGATAAGAAGGTATATATTATCGATACGAGACGAAATGATCTAATGGATCCAAGCACTTTTTATTTCAGGACGGGCGTAAGTTGGGTTTCGGTGGCATGCATGGCATTCCCATGGTTGCCAGCAGCCCCGTGAGACACGAGAGTCCTATCGGCATGACGCCGCTGGAGGTCCAGGCTTATCAGCCGCCGTGGAAGGCGCTCTCGGAGTTCGCCCTTCATACGGACTTGGAGCGACTGGATCCCAACGCGCCGTCTTTCCATCATCTGGTGTCCCAGGTAAAATACGCCCCGAAATACGTAAACATGTCCTGAGGCGAGATATCGGGGAAGACAAAAATTATAGCCCTCTTGGATAATGCGCTGAAGCAAAATTTACTAAGAAGAAATTCGACAAAACGGTATCTGATGTCTCACATTCAAACTCACATATAAAAATATATATTTAAATATATGTTATATGTGTTATATATTTTTAATAATTTAATATATTTTTATTTATTTCTTAATATATTTTTATATATTTTTTTTAATATATTTTTTTATTATATTTTTAATATATTTTTAATTATATTTTCAATATATTTAATATATTTAATATATGTTTAATATATTAAAAATTTGATATATAGGTATTATATGTATATTATTATATAGGGTAAAAAAATATTTTTAATATATTAAAAATATATTAAATATCTTAAAAATATACTAAATATTAAAAATATATTTAAAAAATATATTAAAAATTTTTTTTCTGAATCTCAAATATATTTTTATATTTAAATATATATTATATATGTATATAATTTTTAATATAGTAAAATTTGATATATAGGTGTTTATATTATTATATAGGTATAAAAAATATTTTTAATATATTAAAAATATATTTTTAAATATTATATATTAAAAATATATTTAAAAAATATTAAAAATATATATTAAAAATATATTAAAAATATATATCAAATATAGAAATTTATAAAAATATAATTTTGAAATTATTTAAAGAAAAAAAATTGTAAAATTACAGATGCACGGTTACGACTTGCACGGAGGTCCGCCACCACAATTGCCACCCCCGGGGATGCTCGGGGGGCCGATGAGCGACGGAGGGGGCGGCCCGCTTCCGCCGCCAGGACCCCATCATCCGGGCGGCGGCGGCGGACCGGATATGGGCCAGCACCCGGACAGCACCGACAGCTTCGTGACCTACGTCGAGAGTGACAGTGACTCGTTTCATCACGATACGGGAAGTCCATAGTGTCGTGCGCGTGACGGATGCGAGGAAAGCAAGAAAACGACAACCCCTTCGCCGTCCTTCGCCTTCTTAGCGACCCTGGTCGTCATGCTCGCCGTAACGGCGAGATACTTACAACGACGGCAGATCTGAAGACAGAAATCTGGGAAAAAATATACGCACACTTTTACAGCGGTGGACGAATTTCAGATACCAAAGGACTCCTTTTCGTGTCTCTTGTCATGATTTTTCGACGATAATCAAACGGGCGGAACGGGACACGTCGGGATTCGATGTTCGAAAGATATGATTCACAGAAACAACATATATCTAGATATATTTGCAATGAGCCAGAAGGGGTTGGTTTTTATGCACTTGAAACTAATATTTTCCTCTGATGAGAGAATCTCGTGAATACGAAAATTCTGACTTTACATATACAAGAAATTAAAAAAAAATTATGCCCAATATGAAATGCTAGCAAGAGCTTATCCATCCGTTATTGCTATAATTAATTAAGTAATTAATTAATTAATTATACTAGTATCAGATCTGGCAGTCTATAATATAATTAATTAATTAATTATACTAGTATCAGATGGCTTTGCCAGCATTTTATTGGGCATAATTTATTAGTATATTAATTTTTTTTATTTTTTTATATATGTAAAATCAGAATATTTTCTCAAAAAACCAAAAACAATTCTAAGGGATGAAATTACCCCTTATATGTAAGCTTTTTACTTTTTTCTATAAGTATATCTTGAAAAACAGAGACATCAAAAATGTTTTATACAAAGTTCATTTTATAAAATTATATTTAATTACATGAATAAAATTTTGAAAATATTAATTTTTTAAAAATATTATTAAATTCAATTTTTCAAAATGTTATTAAATTAAGATTAAATAGAGATGTTCTTACTATGAAACTTTTGTTTTAAAACATTTTTTTGATATCTCAAATATTTTTCGAAATATATATCAAGAAAAACAAAAAACATTCTATATAAGGGATGATTAGAATTGTTTTTGGACCGCAACAAAAAATTTCTAAATTCATTTACTTATCTTCTCTATATGTGTGTAAAATTTTATTAAAATCAGAATTTTTGCGCTTTGCAATATTTTTCTTGTAAGAGATCAATTATTGCACTAAAACACTATGAAAGTGTAAACGTTTATCTAGATATATTGATTGACGTAAAATCATCGCTGATTGTCTCGTCAAAGAGTTTCGATTCTTGTCACTTTTTATTTATTTTTTCTTGTTGCATTAACGCGTCAAATTTATTTATAAAACGTAAAAAATAGCGCGATAAAAATTCGTCGCGCTATGTCTTGAAATTCCATTCGATTAATACTGGCAAAAACGATTTCAGAAACATGTCGTTGACTGCGTGTATATACATTATAAGGAAAGAGAGAAAGCGATCCCGACAACCCAACACTGGAATAATACACTGTACATAGTTGCTAATTGCTGTAAATCTAAGCAATGTTAAACCATGATGTACTCAGGCGCAAGTTGTAGCGTAGAAAATATGAATAGTGGAATATATATAGATATATATATATAGGCACACATATGTTATGTGTAAATTTATATTAACGATTGCGCATTATTCCAGTTATGTTAAGTTTTCAACAACAGCGGAGAGAGAGAGCGAGAAATGCTTGCGAAGGTACACTGTAAAAAAATATGTAATAATATTGCATAAAAATATGTAAAATTACATAAATAATAGATGTAAAATTACACGATAAATGGTGAAAATGTATAGCTTTTCATTATTATTTATGTAATTTTACATATATAATATTACATATGTAAAATTATATATGTAAAATTGTATATATGTAATATTACATATGAAAATTATATATGTAAAATTATATATTTAATATTATATATATGTAAAATTACATATGTAATATTACATATGTAAAATTACATAAATAATAACTGTAAAAGCACACGACAATTAATGAAAAACTGTACATTTTCATCATTTATCATGTAGTTTTGCATTTATTATTTATGTAATTTTACATATTTTTTTATGTATAATATTACATATTTTTTTACAGTGTAGGGCTTCGGCCCTACAATGCGATTTATTGATCTATTATCCTCTGAATGATTTTTTGTCGCGTTATCGTTGTCGATATGTTCTGTGTTCTTCTTTCAAATTTGTACGTCTAAAAAAACGAGAGAGTAATCACTCTGATAATTTACACGATTGTATGATGTGACATGTCTCTCAGTTTTTAAAAGATGGATGAGTACGCTTAATTACCGAAGAAGGACAAGGGAGCGGTGGTCCTTCGATTAAATCGAGCATAAAGAAAGCTACATTTTTGACGAAACGTGCAATTGACGTCGCCTTGCAAGCTAATTAAACAATAAAAAATTCATACGAATTTATAATATGTAAAATGTAAAATTATCATATTTCTTCAATGTTTGAAGCAAGATCCGCTAGCTTCTTAATCGTTAATTTCTCTTCTATTTTTATCTCTCGATTTCTATAGACAAAAAATAAATTTCTTTTCACCTCGCATCTGATAATTAAGTACGTTATTAAGTTAGCAATTTTCCGTATACGTTGAAGAAAAGAAATCAATAGAAAAAATAAAAGTAAAATATTTCAAAATATCAATACCTGATTTTGAGAACGCAACCGAATTTATGACAAATCAGCGAAGGGAATTGCTTATTGTATTCAATTTTATATCTTATTTATTCCATATTTGTCTTAGAATCGTAAATACATTAAATTTTATATTATAATTGAGTATTTTTTTTATTTCAACTATTTTGTTTAGTGGAAGTTTTCGATAAATTGCCAAACAATTTTGCTTTTTAAGAAATCGATAACTAACTCAACTTTCGTTGTAAAAATGATCAGAATTATTTAAAATATAATTCTGAGTTATTTACAATACAAGTTTGAGTTGAAATTATAAATATAGTAACACTAAAAGTGTAAAGATCTTTTTATTTTCGATATACACGTTATTTCGAAATGTAAATTCGATTTGGTAATTTAGATTCTGGGACAAATTTAATTCAATTTTCTTGAATTTATTATATTGCTTGAGAAAATTCTAAAACATTAAAAAACAATTTTTCTGTTTTTATACTTCAATAAAATATCGTGTTAAAAAAATACTTTTATACTTTTTGTGCACTTTTTTGAACGCGCGTGTTAGATTTTTCGAAAATTAAATAATTTATATTCAATTTCAAATGACATAAATTTACTTTTTAGAATTAAGTGGACTTAAAAACTAATTTGTACGTCTAAAAAAGGAGGGATTTAAATGTTGTCTAATGTATCGATATTATTTTTTTTGTCTTGCATTTCAAGATTATTGTACAACGTTTTCAGAAATGCGCAAAAATATGAAACTTTTGCATACTTTCGATAAGAAAACGTGTAAAGCTCAACGAGTGACGGCGAATAACGCACCGAATTGTCTAATAATACTTTTCGATTAATTATTTCGCTGTTCGTTTAGTGCAGAAAAGAAAGAAAACGCACCAGGCGCATTTGCAGCCTTTTTTGGGTGTTTGTGTAGAACTTACACCGCTCTCTTGTACTCACGTTCACGTGATTAAAAAAAAAACATGCGTAGATCTAACATTTCGTAATTCGTTCAAGCATCTTCGAATTTGTATGATATTTCTATACTGGCACAATGTATGTAATAAACTGTCGAACAAAAGCATTTCAATGAGGTTTACTTATTTCGGCGCTAACACTTGCATTTCAGATGCTATTTAAAATTTTTCAGAGACGCTTTCCACTTACCTTATCAATAATAAAAGAGTTCAAAATAATTTGCAATAATATTATCTTGTAAAATCTTCTAATATAATTCTTGGATATTAGAATATTCAAAATTCAATGGATATAATAGCAAGAAAAATTATTGTACATTGTCAAATAATCGTCATTTTTACATTAATTTTAATTTAATATTATACATTTGAGATAATATTTCAAAATTTTCAGAGACACTTTCACTTACCTCATCAATAATAAGAGACTTTAAAATAATTTGTAATATTATTATATTGTAAAATTTTCTAATATAATTTTTGATATTAGAATATTCAAAATAAAATGGATTAATAGCGATAAAAATGATTGCGCATTGACAAATAATCGTAATTTTAACATTAATTTTAATTTAATTTTATGCACTTGAGATGATATTTCAAAATTTTCAGAGACACTTTATTTCATCTAATGCTCGTATATAGTATCCGAAATTCAACGAGTTTAAGCAAGATTTATATAATCGCCAAATAATAATCATAATTTTAACATTGATTTTAATATAATTTTAATATTAAAAATAATATATATATATATTTTTAAATATTAATATTAATTTATATATATATATATATATATATGTATATATATTGAAATATTAATTTTATAATAACTAGACAATACAAGTGAATTTGAGATATCTCAAAATTGGCTGCTAGTCATATTTAAAATTTTTAAATTTTTTGCTAAAACTACAAACAAACTGCTATCATTTTCTGTATTAATTTAAGAAATTAATTTTTAAAAAGTCGTCTCAGCTTCACATAGCTGAATTTCTGTGAGAATTATTACATCTCTCATTATCAGTTCAAATAAGACTTTAAAGATAAATCAATATTGATTCTTAAAGCTGAACAAGCTATTTTTGAGATATCTACTGAAAGAGTTATGTGGTAATTTTTTCAATTTTTTTACATCGAGTTTATTTTGCCACGAAATCCGGTCAATACCCAAGTAGCAAACTGACGTCATTAAACGTAAAAATGACGTCAAAATGACGTTATTTTGACGTTTAATGACGTCAGTCTACTATCTGGGTACTTACAGGCGTAATATTTTTCTAACGCTTTATCAAAATAAATAATTCGACTCACATTTCGACGATTCTTCTTCTAAAGATTCCTCCCATCCATTTTTCCTGTAGGAGATCAATCTTTTACCCGGGAACTATCCTCATAAAAGCTTCGAAACGATCGAGAGCTTCTTCGCGCGCGAATATATAAAACCGATATGCTCCCACCGCACCAGATGGCAGTCATCTATATGTATAGATTGTGTTCGGAAATATATATTCATCTAGGGCGAAGGGATTTTTGATCTCCGATTGGTCGGTCGAATTCTAAATTTTGACGGACGGATTTTCGAACGTAACCCCGAAGTGACTTGTGACGTCATGTGCCGCCTTTATAGAAATTTATCACTATAGTAACGCTAATTTATCATTTATTTCGAGTATTAATCACTTATTTTGAGTACTTAAATTACTGTGTATCAGTATTTTAAGTACTCAAAATAAGTGATTAATTAGCGATACTAGTTACTACAAGGGCGCCTTTTAGGAATCGCTTGAGTTATCTATTTCCACTAAATTTTACTTTATTTGTCGAATTTTATTTTTTCTGTATTTATTAATTAAAATAATTAATTAAAAATTAATAATAATAATTAAAATATTAAATAAAAATGTTAATAATAGGGAAAGAATAATATTAGTATTATTAAAATATTAATAATATTAATCATAAAATAATAATAATAATTAATAATATATATAATATTAATAATATTAATAGTAATAATATTAATATTATTATAATATTTATTATAATAATATTAATAAAAATATTAATAATAATATTATTAATAAATAATAATAATTAATTTTTCCAAACTGTAATTATTGTATTTATAACAATTAATAATTAATAATTTCTCGGAACTATAATTACTATAATTATTAATTAAAATATTATATTTGAGAAAGCGATTATTAGATGCATACTTGAATTATTCGAGGACGATGATTTCTGGAGGGCTCGGCGAGAAAATGATGGACTTCCGAATTCTGGCAGGGACGAGTCACCGAGGTATATTTCATATCAGAATCCGGCTCTTTAATAAAGAGACACTTCTCGATCAACTTTTTCGTGCAAAAATCGCCTTCGAACGAGAATAATCGCGAAAAAAGTACGGAGAAATTCGAATACGTGATTCCTTGCTGGCTGCGACTTGAAGAAGACCGAAGAGAGATGCGAAATTGCGATTCTCGAAACTGGCGATATATCGATATATCGAAAATCACGATCGCGGCGCCGCCCAACGTGTCGACGAGAAATTAATCTCGTTTCGAGAGTTCGGGTGTTTCTTGATTTCGCGAACTTGATTTTTCGCGAGATTTTTCACAGAAAAATACTTTTTTAAGACTTTATTAATAGTTAATAATTACGCAGATATGGATAACGAGAAAAGCACCATGCTCGCTGTTTTGCAGCTATTGAAGAAGTACAATTTGAAAGTAAGTTGTCAAAGCTAACCTCTCTCTTCATCTATTTTTATTAATATTATGTCTAATAATCAAAACTAAATTTGTAGAAAGCACATTGAATATTCGCAAAAAAAAAAAAAAAAAAAAAAAAAAAAAACTGTCAATGACTAAGTTTTGTCAAAAATATTTTTTCGCCTGAAACAAAATATAAAGATTTATATTCGAAAATATATGAAAATATAAAGGAAAAGAATATTTGATGCTGTTATAAAAAAAATTATTCTATTGCGAAGTGTCAAAAACACATTTGACATATAAAGATGAAAAATTATGCATTAACAGAAGGGGAGTCTTAAAAGTAGTCTGCATTAATAAATGTTATTGTGTGAGAAATATAATAAATAAATTTGTATATAATTATAGACTATTAATTGAGCTTGTTTTTAGGGGACCGAAGAATTGTTTAGAAAAGAAGCCAATCTCACAGACATCTCGGCTGAAGAAGCTCAACAAACTGATTCCGAAGTGACCAGTGTTCTTTCTGCTTACAAGAGCGAAGGGGATCCTGCACAGTATGAGAAGGCGTACAGCGAATTGAAGAAATTTGTAGAAGGCGCTTTGGACATTTATAAGGTACAGTAAAAGTGTTTTGTGTGTCAAATATGATAATTGTATGTTTATAACACCTTATCTTAATATATGTTTTTGTTTATATAATGATAGCATGAATGGGGAACCATACTATACCCAGTTTGGTGCATATGTATCTGGAATTAGTTTACAATAATCATTCCAAAGAGGCAAAACAGCTCATGGAAAAGTTCAGTGAAAACTTGGAAGAATATTATCAGGATGACTTGAAAAGATTATCCAATGTAACAAAAAGAGAGCAAATGGCGGGGAATGAATTAACTGACACATTTAAGTAAGTATGTCTGTAAAAAGAAAAGTGACATAACTAAAGTATTATAATTTAAACATGTCGTTTGATGCTTATTTGCAGATCTAATCAGTTTATAATTAGAATGTCGAGGGATACGCTTTCTATATTAAAGAGACATTTGCAAGAAAAGAAACACAGTGTCCTATTAAACATTATACAGGAGCATCTTTACTTTGACATGTACGAGGGTGTTGCTCGTAATAAAGAACAGATAGATGCAACATCCGGCGCTATGGTGGGTGAAGCCACTAGACAAGGTAATGAAATTATTTTATATTTCTAAGAGAAGAATTATTCTTTGCCTTGTAAACTCTATTAATAAAATGTTACTTTATAGATAACAAGGCCAAAGTGTATTATGGACTTTTAAAGGAACCAGATATTCAATGCATGGCGCCAGCTGAGGAAGAAGAGGATGATACCGGTGGTGGAGATGGAGATAAACCAAAAAAGAAGAAGGCTAAGAAGGATCCTTTGTTTTCGAAAAAAACGAAATCGGATCCAAACGCACCACCTGTGGGCAGAATGCCATTGCCTAATCTGTAAGAATTACAAATAAAAGATCAATAATTTAAATATATAATAATTAACAGGGAGTAAGTTGAATATTTTTTTAAACTAAGTAAATTAAATTAAAATTAATTTAGTTACATTAAAAGTTACATGGACAAAAAAGTAACTCAGTTAAAAATTAAGATTTAATTAAATCTTAAGTTAAATCAAAAATTAATTTAAAAAAATATTTAAATTAAATTAAATGTCATAACTTCAAAATTTTTAATTTTTAATATTTTATTTCTTATTTTTTAATAAAATAAATAACGAAATAACATTTACAAATTTTATTTTTTATACAAGAATATTTTTTTCTTTGTAATTATAAAAATAATAATTAATAATACCTTTATTATACTACCCAACCTTGATAATTAATAATTAAAAGATTTTAAAGATTGCTTAATGACTATTACTTATATAACTTTTGTACAAATCTTATCTTTGTAATTTAGGAAAGATGCAGATAAACTGGAAAAAGTTAAGGCGTTGAGGGAAGCTTCGAAAAGAGTTCTTCTGGGGCCTGATACCCTACCATCTATATGTTTTTATACATTGCTGAATGCAGTTCATACGTAAGTTGATGTAATAAGCAATTTTTTCTTTAATATTCACTCGTAATCATGTTATATTGCAATATTTCTAGTGTAACAGCGGCGGAAGTAGCAGAAGACTCGAGTTTATTAGCCATTGGCTTCAGTGATTCTGGTATAAAAGTTTGGAGCTTAGTTCCACAAAAATTAAGGTTGATGAAAACGGGTGAACTATTAAACGACGTCGAACGAGAAGCAGGTAAAACATAAAAAAATTTTTGAAAAAAAGTTTTTAATTCACATTGTTCTAAAATGCATATTGTAAGAAACTTTGTAGAAGATGTACTGGTTAGAATGATGGACGATAGAACAGCTGAAACTGCAAGACATCTATATGGTCATAGTGGACCAATTTATAGCCTTTCATTTAGTCCAGATAGAAATCTTCTGCTTTCATCGTCAGAAGATACCACAAGTGAGTTTCATATAAAAAAATATACTTAAAAGTAAAGATTCAATTAACTTAAATTAAATCAATAGTTAATTTTTAAAAATATTTATTTTAAATTAAATGTCATAACTTCAAATTTTTTTAATATTTAATATTTTATTTATTTTTTTTATAAAATAAATAATGAAATAACAAATTTTGTTTTTTTATTCAAGAATGTATTTTTTTTCTTTGTAATTATGAAAATAATACTTTTATTATACTACCCAATCTTGATAATTAAAAAAATATTATAAGTAATATACTTAATTAATATTCTGTTTAAATAAAATAAAAAATATACACACATATATAATATATGCATATTATGTATTTGCATGAAAATCTGTAAAAATTGTATTAATTTTTGTAGACTATTAATTTTGATTTTCTCTTTCTCTTCTTCTTTAAAGAATCTTTGCAATAATATTTATAATGATTTTTTTAGTAAGACTATGGTCACTCCATACATGGACATGCGTCGTATGTTACAAAGGCCATCTATTTCCTGTGTGGTGTGTAAGATTCTCACCGCATGGATATTACTTTGCAAGTGCTTCCAATGACAAAACTGCCAGACTATGGGCAACTGATTCTCACCAACCACTACGAATATTTGCTGGTCATTACTCAGATATTGATGTGAGTCTGACTTCCTTTAATGACTGGCTCCTTAAGTATTTTTTTAACATCCAGTTTATTTAATTCTTTTAAATTAATTAATTTATTGAATTTTAATTAATTTTACGATTATAGATCAAATTGTTTATTTAGTCGATGGATTATTATCTTACATATATATATATATATAATTTTTATATATTATATTTGTATATAATTTTTATATATTCTATATATTATTTTATATCTTACATATTATATATTATTATATTATTCTTATACATTATTATCTGATATATATATTTTTTTTTTAATAGGTAATTCAGTTTCATCCAAATTCGAATTACGTCGCAACTGGTTCGAGCGACATGACTGTGAGATTATGGGATTGTGTGACTGGCAGTCAGGTCCGATTAATGACCGGACACAAGGGGTCGATATTTTCTCTCGCTTTTTCAACGGAGGGACGATTTTTGGCTTCAGCCGGTGCCGATCATCGCGTGCTCGTGTGGGATTTAGCTCATGGTCATCTCGTCGCAGCCTTATCAGGCCATACGAATAACATTCATTGTCTGTCATTTAGTCGAGACGGCAATATTCTAGTCTCAGGTATTTGTTCTACTATAATTTTTCTATATAGATCTAAACGAAACAGACGTCAACAGTAGATTGTAATTTTTCCAGGATCCCTAGACTATGCGCTGAGATTATGGGATTTCACAAAATTAGCGGAGGAAATGAGTCTGGAAGATGTGAATGTCTCGCACAATCCGGATGTGAAGACCAATGCGGAATCCTATTTGTTGCGTACCTTTGCTACAAAAAATACGTCTATTCTGACAGTACATTTTTCACGTAGAAATTTACTGTTAGGTATCGGTATGTTCGATTCGATGTAATTTATCATTACGTCTCAGATTTATCAGATTTTACATACACAGAAGACTCGAATACATATTAAGTATTACATATGATATAATACAAATATTATATAATATTATATAATACAAATTTCGTATAATACTAATATTATATAATACGAATTACATATATTATATAAATTCTATTAACTGTATAACATAAATTATTATTATTATTATAAGACATTAATAAATTTTTATAATAAATTTTTTAATAAAATTAATAAATTTATTAATTTTTACACGTGTACATATTTTATAATCAAAACTATTTAGTTCATGAAAAAATAATATCGCATTTTGTTAAAATTGTCAGAGAAGTTTAGAAATTGAGTCATTCAATTCTCTCATTAAATACAATCGTTCCATATTGTTATGAAATCAGAAAACTTAAATAAAAAAACAAGGTCGAGCGAGATGATGCATTACGATCGATATATACATATATATACGTATAATTCGCAAGAGATTTTGCAACTCGAGCTCGAACTGCGGGTGAATGGCGGTAAAAGCGCGATCTATTGGCAGAATGTATAGGTACACACACATACACACATATATAGAGAATACAGTCGACCGGACGGCAAAAAAATCTGACAGAAAGGAAACAAGTAGTGGATGAATAAAAATGCCCGCGCGTGTAAATGAAAGTAAGTGAGTAGGCGACTCCGCGGCGCTCCAGCTGTCAACGATCAGCTGTCACCTGTCACTTTCGGGCGTTGCCTCGCGAAACCGTCGCGTTTCGCTTTCGAACACGATGGAGGATAACAGCGCGAGGTTAGGTGAGTCGGGAACGTGGTGCATCCATCTGGAGCCGGGTTCTTTTTTTTTTTTTTTCATCTTTGAGATATATATAAATTTCTCGACCCCGTGTTTGATTTCGCGCAGCTACCGACAACGGACACGAGGTGGTGAAGGCTTTGTACGACTTCAAGGCCACGTTTGCCAAGACTCTCAGCTTCCGGGTGGGCGAGCATTTCCTTTTGCTGCAGCGAAACGTCAAGCAGAAGAATTGGTGGCAAGTTGTAAACAGAGGGGGCCGTCTGGGATACATACCATCGAATTATGTTACCATTGTGAAGGTACGTTGACTTGGTTTATCCATATATATTATTTATATATTTATTATATATTTATTATATATTTATTATATATTATATATATATATATATATATTACAATATAAATAATATAATTATACTATTATATAATATATATTATTTATATATATATATTAATATTCTAAATTATAAATATAAGTAATAATATAAATATATATAAATATGCATATAATTTCTGCATAATTATTAATCAACCATTATTATTAGGCGCAGCCTCAGTTCTTGATCGACTTCTTGGAGGACTGTATAATAACTCTGGAGACGGAAAACCAAGGTGACTCGCTGCATCCAGACAAGCAGGACCTGTTAGCGCAGTTAATAGAGAAGAAGAAACAAATTGAAGTAGGTAAAAAATCCAAGAGACAAGCGCCTAAACCACCAGATTTAGAGGGCATCATATCTGGAGAAGCAGATTCAGCGGCTGTCTGCGACAATACAGAAGCGGACGTGAAATCAGCGCCGAGCAATACTTCTTACGCGACAGCACGGACGACGATTCATGCGAACGCGGAAGCCGTTCAGACGATTAATCAGCGAGCGGTGAAGGAGAGCGAGCGCGTGCCACCGCTTCCGCGTCAATCGTCCTCGGACACCGTGCAAAAAGTTCAGACCCAGATCACGGATGTTCGCAAGAGCTCGTCCCACGGTAGCGTGCAAACCATATGCAGCGGCTCGCCGAATAGATGCAACTCGTCGACCAAGAACGGCTCGCCCAAAAGCAACTCGTCGTTGCAAGCCATCAATTCGCGGAGCGCCTATCAACTGCTCGACCAAGTGCGCAAGAACACTCAGCTCAGCCACGACATGTCGAAAGTTGCGGTCACAGTCGTGGTGTCCGGCCTGCAACAGTTGCTGCCAGAGACTGTAGGTCACTATCTGGATGCTCTGTTGCATCAGCTGCAAACACCATTGACCGTGTCGAAAATGAGCATAGAGGAGACTTACGATGCCAATAGGTTGAGAATTATCTTCAGGGAATTGACTTCGTGCAAGGAAGACTCGCAGCAGAGGAGCTGGATGCTTTATGAAGATGAGTCCATCATTGTGGAGTATATCAAGGAACTGACCGAAATATTAGTATGTATAACAATCAATAATAAAATATTTGAATATTTTAAGATTGTTAAATCACATACTTAATATATTTGGATTTTAACATCATATTTTATTAATTCTTTCTAATTCTCTTCAAAAAATTTTTTTAAAGTTTGTATTAATTGCATTTTTAAAGATGTTGCAGCCTTTAATATTTCACATTTTTATTTTTGTGTCTTATATATACATTAAATATATTGTTACTATTAAATTGTGATATAAATATTTAGACAATTACTTATCATTATTACAATTAATATTTATACATATATTTTCCTTGTCAAACAGACTAATGCTGATTCAAATGTATCGAGATATGTTTTGAGGCAAGATCGATACAACGGAGTAACAATATTGATACAGTATTATCAAATGGAAACAAGATGGACTATCAGGCAATTGTTGTTGCAATCGTTTGGTGTAATGTGTAGTTTGGATTCAGTGGTCCTAACTATAATGTTAAATAGTATTTTACCAATGGAATTAGCGAGGTAATGTAAAACATATAATGATGAATTATATAATATTTAAATAATGAATAAAATTCGTGATTACGTGATTTTTATAGAGACATGAGGAGTAATCCCAGAAATGTAGTAAGATTAAATTACTCATCTCTGCTACTTACAATGATTTTTTCAATGGGCGAACCCATGCCAGTTACACATTTAGGTGAGTAAAACATTAATAATACAATAATAATATAAATTAAAAATAAATATTTAAAAAAATATATATATTTTTCTTTAATGAATTTTTTATTTTACAGAACAACTTGGTTCAGACTTTATATCGTTCCTCCTGGACTTGATCGAAACACCACCTGATACAGATTTAGAGGATCAGATTCCGGACCTGTTCATAAATTTAATACTGTCCTACAATCTTCAATTTACAACTTCTGAGAATATGGTTCTAAATGCCTTACGTGAACGGACTGTGGCCAAGACTTTCACTGAAAAAATTTTGTTTCTTTTTAATAGAGAAGGTGAATTTTTCAGTAATGCAAGACTGTGACTGTCCAAAACTGACAAACTGATTTTTCATTTGTTGCAGAGGATCCGATACGAGTATTTGATCATGAACCTCAACCGCCGCATTCTGTATTGAAACTATTCATCGACTTATTCAATAACGATGCCATAGCGAGTCTCTTTTATACCAACGACGTGAAGGTTCTCGTCGACATCATTCTTCGGCAACTCTTCGACATGTTCCCGGGTGATAAGGTATTGCACTTTACAAGATGGAGTAGTAACTCAGTGACTTAATTAAAAGTTAAAACATTAATGACTTAGCTTAGTTAATTTGAAATAAGTTGATTTTTTATTTAAACTCGTTATTTTTAAACTTAAACTTATTAACTTTTTTTTAAATTAAAAATGTTTTTCTACAAAATCTTAAAGATTGGACAATTAAATTTTAATAAGAAATAATCATTCCATAACATCATTCTTATAAGAATTATAAAATAAAGGTACTATTAGTTTTTTCAAATTCTAATTAAACAAAAGAAAAAATACATTCCTATATAAAACTCTAAATTTTTGTTATTTCCTTATTTGTTATTTTATATAAATTTAAAAAATAAAATATTAAATTTAAAAATTGTAAAGCTATGACATTTTAATTGAATATAAGTAATATTTTTGAATTTTTATTTAGCTTAATTTAATCTTAATTCAACTTAATTTTCTAAATCATTAACTTTAACTTAACTTAGTTTAAAAAAATAATTAACTTATCTAATCCTAGTATTTTATGTTATATTGATAAAAATGTTTACATTGAACTTGTTAAAAATACTTTAGACACATATGTATCTAATATTTATATTTATCTCTAATGCAATGACAGCGCAGACAATATTTGGAACTCTGTCGTCGAGTTCTACGTACCTCGAGCTATAACGAGCACCGTCATCGATCTGAAGATTTGTTAAAATGTTTCACAAGGTAAGACTCGATTGCATGCCTTGTTAACTTATAATAATTGTTAACGAACATTCTTACATTTTTTTTAGAATATTTTGCGAAGAAACAGCAGAGAGTAAAGAAGACCAGCAAGTAGTACGCGAAATTAGCAACGAATTTCCACATTTATTCAAGATGTGACATTTAATTTCATCCTCTGAACAAGATTTAGAGGAGGATGACTTGCAAACTCTTGTCTAAGTATAGATCTGAGAACTAATTAAAAGAAAAGACAAAATCAAACGCAATAAATTTTTGTTAAATCCTGGCTTATATTTTACTTCAACTATTAATAAAGGATGTAACGGAACGCGCACAACTCATGAAATATCTACGATATGTTTTACGACTGCCATAAATGTCTTCATTCGGTTGCGGTGCTACAAGATGTCATTTGTTGCAATGTATCTAGGGGAAATTGTAACTATTTAGAGTGAAGAGATAACTCTTGTATGTGTAAAATTATGATATATATGCATAAGTAACGCATGAAATAACAAATAAGTCCTTTTCACTCTCGTTACGAGGACCATATTGATATTTAAAAGCATTCCAATATTTGCAAAACTAAATGACATTTTTAATAGTTAATCTTGATATATTAATTTATATATATAGAGATTATAATTAATCTTGATATATTAATTTATATATATAGAGATTATAATTAATCTTGATATATTAATTTATATATATAGAGATTATAATTAATCTTGATATATTAATTTATATATATATATATATATATATATATATATATATATAAATTATATATATTGAGATAAAGTTTAATATATTAACATACAGCTGATACACAAATCTGTGTGTCTATTGTTAAAAGATGGATAAATTGATTAAAAATTATAGTATTATTTCTTCGTAATATATATATAATCTAGTCCACATCTATGTGTCAGAATTAATACTCTAAGTCATATGAAAATTAAATAGTTTATATATATATATCTTGTTTTTCAATAAGATAAAAAATACTTTTACGTATAAATACAGTGCCGTTATTTTACAAATGTTTTAATTATATAAAATAAAATTTAGATAGAAAAACTTTGTCACGGATTTACTTATAAGACTTACTAGGTGCCACTGCGCTATCGGTAAAACTTGCTAGTCTATAATTAGTGACTATATTTTTTGAAGCATGTTATTCTATGTTATGTTTGTAACTGTCGACATGTCAATTATATAGGAATCTCAAATTTATTGTGATTAATTGAATGTTAAATAAATAAAAAGTTTAGCTGATAATTTTTAGACAAGATATTAACAATATATTTCCTCTTCTTTTCTTCATTAATAATTCTAATCTAAATTATTCAATAGAAACCTAAATTTATGATAGTTATAATGACATTTTGTCTGTCCGATATTTGTATTGTTTCTTATATTATTAAGAAGCATTAAAAAAATAAGGTATTGTTATCTATCTAAAAATGAGGAAAATAAAGAAGAAATAGATAAATTTAAACAAAAGGAATAAAAATAGACATTAGATCAAATTATATATAATTAGCTTTACATTTCATTTTACAAATTAACTAAAGAATGTCGTTAAAAAATAATTTAATAAAAATATAGTACATATTTTCTATATCGAGCTAATATAAAAAATAGATTTGTTCGTGTAAGAAAATTTCAAGCTTATATTTAAGTCGAGAAATATTAAAAATGTGTTTATCCCATACATAAACGCACGCATATGAGGAAAATTATTCGCATCAAACAACAGCAAATAAAAGACTTTTCTATCTCGTTTTATTAATAACAATAATATATATTGATTTTTCAATGAAAAAAAGTCCAAGGATTTATGAAATGTAAATATATGAAAGTAAAATTTGTTTATACGAAATATAATATATGTAAAAAAGCGGGGGAATATTCATTCGATGCGATGTTCATGGCAGGAATTTGCTTCCGAGGCTAATCACAAAACGGAAGGATACCTAAATAAATTTGCTGTACAAATTTGGTTCATCATAAACACGCGAATGATTACTTCTAAAAACGTAATGATTGCATATACACGTATGTATATGTCTTCGGATCCAAAGCATTCATTTAAAATTATTCACCGGTCATCATCTCCATGAATTCTGAAATGAGAAAGAATACACAATGTAAGTTCAAGTTTTCACTTACAAATCGTCTAATTAGATAATAATTTTTCAGTAGAATTTTTCTCATCAAATTCTACTGACAGTATTGATAATAAATTTCTAATCTTCCGAGATCAAAGATTGTTTTAAAAGTATATTGTAAATGTGTTTTTGTTTATATTGTTTTTTTCTATTTTTATGCTTTATAAAATTTTTTATTAGAAATTTAATTCTTTAATAATAATTAAGATAAAATATCTCTCTCAAATAATAATTTTATTTTCAAATACCTAATAAACTTTTATATACCTATATGTGTGCTCTTTTGCTATTTTATACATCACTAAACTATTTCGTTGAAATAATTATAAAGATGATTAATCCAAATCGCTCATAGAGGAAATTGGTAATGTATGAAAATAAAGATGTCACAAAATATAAGTTTTGATTGTTTCTAATATATACATATATATTTCTTGCAGGGTTGTTATCTTATACGTTCTGATATTTATATAAGTATGAGCATCACACATGTGAAATTCATCAAGAATTGGAACAGACGTGAAAAATCATCGCGATTTATTAAGTACAAATATTGATAAAAATAGATTATTGCGGGATCAAATGACATCATCCTCGATCATAATTTTCGATTTGCGAGCTCTTTCGCATATAAATAAACCATCCGACAATTTTACACGAAGACAGATGCCGATTTTCCAGAGGAATAAAATGGGCAATCTTTTAAGTCAACAGTAATAAACACAGAAATAATTTTTCTTACGAAAAAAATAAAAAATTATAATTTAACAATAAATAAAAATTTTAATAATAAATTTACAATTTATAATAATAAATATAAAATTTAAGAATAAAATAATATTTTATACATTGAAACAAAAAATTATAAAAATGTTGATTTTATATATATATATATATATATATATATATATATATATATAATAATAATAATAATAAATCAAATCGTTCTTATATAAAATTGAGGAAATATTTTTCTTACGAGAAATTATTTCTCACCAAAATTATGCAATTAAAAAGATGGGTTCTACATTTTATTTTATTTTATTTTATTTTTTTAAGGAAAAAAGCCATAGAAAAAAACCTACCATCAAAATCAACTGTGCCGGAGCCATCAGAGTCGATTTCTTCAATCATCATATCCAATTCCTCATTTGTCAATTGATCATCCAATTCCCTCAGGATTTCGCGTAAGCAGGTCGTCGGGATGTAGCCATTACCTAAGTAAATACAAATTGCAGATTTAAATTAGAGTAATTTAGACTCCATGAAAAAAATTAGATTATTAACAATAATCACTACTTTTTTTATTTTTATTTTTTTTAATTATTGCAAATTTTTAATATTATTTTTTGTAGGATGTAGGAAATTAAAAAATTATTTTATATAACTTTTTTGGTTAATTAAATAAAATTCAAATATAAAAAGTTTTTATTTTTACTTAGCATAATTTTTTTTATATGTATTATTAATTTTGTAGGATAGGTTTTTACAGGGACGTTACGCAGACTTAGCACCTTATTTTTACCCTTTTTTTAAAAAGGTAATTTTTTTTATCAGTACACAAAGAGAATTTTTTTTAATTTATCTGAAATTTATGATAATAGTGAGACAATATATGGTATTTAAAGAATTTTATAAGTGTCTTTGATTAATATTTATCGTAATAAAAAATATTAATATCTATCACAATAAGATATAAAAAATATGATTTGATAATATAAAAAATTGATTAACTTTACTAAAATACATATATAGCAACATTTCAACAATTTAAAAATATATTAAAAACTTATAATAACATATATAAAATATATTTATATAAATTTTATAATTATTATAAAGTATGAGAAAATTTGTAGTGAATTTTGCAGTAAAATTCTCTCCGTGTACTCGTTTTTATTGAGATTTTCTCAAGTATTTTATTTAATCTTATTTTTTAATAAGAATATAAAATATTAATAAAGTTTCAAATTTTTTGTACTCTATTATTACATACCCACACAGCACAAAATATTATAAATGTTTTCAAAAAATATTTCTAAATATTTCTATAAAATATTGCATAAAAACATTTTAAAATGGTTTTAGGGATATTTTTAAATAATTTAAAAATTTTTTGTGATAACATTTTCTCGACTATTTTAAAAAACTTTTAAAAATGTTCTTCTTTATCGCTGAGATAATATTTTCTTAAACATTTGATACTAATTTTCGAAATATTAGTTTACATCTATATTCAAAAATATTTTTGAAACATGAAAAAGCGGACATAGAAACATTTTAAAAATACTTTTGAGACTTATTATTTTATCTTTTAAGAAATATTTTTCAAAGATTTTAAGTATACGTTCTTCAAAATTCTATATTAAATTTGTACAGTTTTCATTGCCACCTCTCATTCGATACGAACAATAGATTTTCGCGTAATTGCAAGATTTATTTACGCTCTGTAAAGCGAATAATTTATCTTCCTGTTGCCAGTTATACACCGCAGTTCCATATTTAAAATACACATATATACCCGCTACTATCGATATAATCGTAATTCATGAACGATGTGTTACGACATTCTTGGCATTCGGCCGTCACGTGAGGGAATCTCCGCGTAGAGGACTTATTTTTACGTTTACGTATACGACCCGAACTTAATGCGCCTGTTTGCATCCCGACGTTTCCCTGTCACACGTTTGTCACATATGTCTTTCCTCGCCGCGAGATTGATTTTGTTGATTTTGAGAAACATAATATCCGCTGTCTTTCAAAGAGACATCGCGTACTTGTCTGTAAAACATTATTTTATCTTTATTATTAAATTCTAAATCTATTATTAAATATTTATTAATAATAAGCAACAGAAATATAATTTTTATCAGATACTTTTCAATTTAAAATATTTCACTATGAAAAAAAGCGCGGGAATAATGAATTGATAAATATAAAGAGATCATCAGCGCTTTATCGCGATGCTGACAATTGTTGTTTTTTTATTCTTATAATATGTGATTAAAAATATATAAAAAAAACCAGACTGTTACCTCCGCTTATTAAAAAATTAGAAAAGATATTTCGAATCAGAGTGCTAGACTATATAAATAATCAATTATAATTATATATTATTGTAATTATTATTTAAATATAATTGTATATTAAAAATATATGATTATAATATTAAAAATTAGAAAAGACATTCCAAATCAGAATGTTATAAATAATCAATTAAAATATTAAAAACATAAAATAAATAATTATATATAGGTTATAATTATAATTAAATATAATTATATATATTATTAATATATTATATAAAAATTTAAAATATAATTATATGATTAAAAAATATAATTACATATTAAAAATATATAATTATAATATATATTATATAATATTAATCTAATATAATATATATAATATATATTATAATTATATATTTTAATATGTAATAATCTGATCTTATATTTATCTAATATTAATAATCTAATATTATATATTATATATATTATATATAATATATAATATTAGAAATTAGAAGACATTCTCCAAATCAGAGTGCTATAATCGATTCTAATATAACAAAATGTGTTAAAACTGTTTACACAAATAAAGTTGTCCTACCTTCCTTGTCGTAGAGCCTGAAAGCCTCTCGAAGTTCCTTTTCCAGAGCCTCAGCGTCCTCCTCAACGATGAATTTCGCCGCCAACGTGACGAATTCCTCAAACTCGAGTCGTCCAGATTCTGTAAACAAAGAATTGTTTATAAGAGAGAGAGAGAGAGAGAGAAGGAGAGAAAATTGCAAATTCTATAAATAGAAACTTCTGTGAGGCCGGATACAATAAATTAAATTACGCGACATTCGACAACAACGCCAGGTAGACTCAACAAGATCGCATAATGGATTCAGTAAACACGTCGAAAATAGAAGGGTAAACAGGTCATTAACGTGTGCAGTCATTAATATTCTTGAAATAAACTTCATCGAATTTTTTGGTCTAACTTCGATCGTGTTAATTATTAATCGAGATGATTTGTTATTTACTATCGGCGTCGACTTCGTCGATGAGCTCGTCCAAGATTTTCTTGTTGAACGGCTGACCCATTAGTCGAAGAATATCGGCCACCATGTCAGTGGGGATGCTGCCACTCTTGTCCCTGTCGAAGCTGTCAAAAGCTTTGCGCAGAACTGTAAAAAACAAAAAAAAATACCTTTATATATGCAAATTAATTGTTGAAAAAATAGACAAATTAATTTATTTTATTCGAATTTTTATGAAGAAAAATTTTGTTCCATCGCCACTTTTTTCTCAATTTTTTATAATAATAACGATTGTATTTAATTATTATATAATGGACATTTTTATATAATTTATCAATTTAAATTATTTTATATTTATTATTAAATTGCAATTTTAATTATTAAAAATATTTATTAATCATTTTGATTTTTATTATTATTAAATTATTATTTTATATTTTATACATATAAATTACTAATATACAATATAAAATAATAAAATAAATAATATAATTAATTTTAATATATAAAATATATAATATATATATATATATATATAAAATATAATAAATAAAAATATATATATATATATATTATATACTAATAAAGTATATAATTCTTTTCTCAGATCCAATAAAATGATAAAAATTTTAAAAAAAGATTGAAATAGTGTAGAATAGAAGTAAAATTCTCGGCAGAATTTGGATCAAAAATCCAGACGGAAAAGTTGGTTCTGGTCGTATAGTTAAAGTTACAAGAATAGAGTTATTAAAGGAGTCGCACGGCCTCCGTTTCGAGATTATAATAGTTTCACCAACAATAAGGACATTAAATTCGCCGCGGATACGGATTTAGATCGACTGTTAAACGTTCCTCCGTCAGCTGATGCTGATGCTGAGCTTATTTGGCTTGATACACCGCAGGGTTACGCGATCCGATTGTTTATCAGGACTTCTCAAGAAACTCTGCGATTCCGCGATGTGTGGATTTAAATATTATATATTTGACTGTCCCTCCGAATTATTATACGAGATCCAAAATCCACGAGCTTTCAACACTTTACTGGTATCATGTTACCTCGCGCGTTTTTCGCGCTAGTCTCCCTCATTTTCACTGCAAATATATGCAAAATATTATTCGGCGATCAGCCAATCGTGATGTGTTCAGTTTGCACGAAATATATATTAAAAAATTTTAAATATTATATTTATCATATCAAATATATAATTGATATTTATAACATTTATGATTAATATGTAGCGTTAGATTAATAAATATTATAATTATATTGTATATATATTATATGAGAGTAAAATTAATAATTATTAACACTATCTAGAAAATTAATAATGTGATTTATATTAAAAATAATATTTATTGACATTTATTAAAATAAATATTTATAAATATTACTAGAAAATAATATATATATATTAAAATTAATATATTTAATTATTATTAACGCTATAAAAAAATATTATACAAAGTGTCTAAAGCAGGGTTTTATTTTATTTCATAAATGACTGAAAAATATCTCTTATTGAAACGTCTCATTATCATCCAAATACGAGAGAAATTGCGTCTTGGAGTGTATTTTCGGTAAAATCGTATATCGTGCTATATTTAAAATTATTTATAATAAATTTTAATATGCTTTATATCCTCCATTTTTATGTACAAAATTTTTTTTCACAAATTCATCGATCTGTCATTACGAAATTTTTTTCCATTTAATGAATTTTGATCTGAACAAATAGAAATTTGATATGGAAGAAAATTCGTAACACACAGATTTCTCTCTCGATCTCTTTGCAACCCGTTGCAAAAAGGAAGGGCTTGATTCCTACACGTCTCGTTCCAAAAGTGTTTTAAAATTTCTTCCTCTTTTCAAGAACGCGATACGATATCGCAAACAGCTGGAAACGCCGGCCATTTCTCGCCCATTTTTCTGGCCTTCCGTTCTGAAGAGTAACTCTTCTCGCTCTTCCCCCTTCCTATTTTTATCATTCCGATACATGTGCGTATATTCATAGAATCGATCATCGGATCATCCCCCTCGTCTCGAGGAGAGACGCGGGAGAGACGCGGAAGAGACGCGGGAGAGACGCGGGAGAGACCCGGAGGCGCTTTTCGGAGGACAGCTATACATAGACGCACTCTCCGCGGCTGCCCCCGATCGGATTAAAGCGTAAATAAACTCGGGTAAAGACTCGGCGAAAGCGAAATGTGAAAATTTATTCCGGGCTCGACGTCAATTCATGCCACCATCGTCTTCCGATCTAAAGGATCCTTCTATTTTCAATCTCGCGGGGTACAAAACCGCTACAAACTGTCGAACATCGCTTTTACACCGTAATACACTGCAAAAAAACCTACAGAATTCAAATAAACATTTATTTGATGCGAAAAATATTTATTTGACATAAGAAAATCCTTTTCGAAACAGAGAGATAAATATTTATTTGTTTCAAAAAGACAGTATTAAAATATTTATTAATTTAATAATTTTTTTTCAGTGTACGATTTTTTTATGTTAAATTTATAGTTAATTTAATTTATTAATTATTATATATATATAATATTAATATTAAAATAATATTAATATATATTATATTATAAAATTATATATTATAATATTATATATTATAATATTATATATTATAATATTAAATGTGTTACATTTATACAGTAGTAATGAATATGATAAATGACAGATGACAGTTTGCGTAAAATAGCTTCTACATTAATCATATAACATTACTATCTTAATTAAGTTCGGAATGGTTATATACGGATATGTTTGGCTATAGACTTATGTTCTATTTGTTTTGTACAATTTTGGCCAGTGCATTTGTACACAATTTGTTTATTTCATAGATCTGCTAAAAATATATACAGGCTTTGTTTGTTACATCAACAACAAGATTAATTGATGAAATTGTTTGTGCGATTTTATCGAGCTGATTCATATAAATAAGTTTTGTTTTACTTGATAAGCTGAATTTTTATATTTAAAATTATTTGTAATAAATTTTAATATGCTTTATATCCTCCATTATTAAATATAACTTTCATTTTTAGATGATAATTTGTTAATTAATTTGATGTACAAAATTTTTTTTCACAAATTCATCGATCTGTCATTGTAAAATTTTTTTCATTTACTGAATTTTGATCTAAACAAATAGAAATTTGATATGGAAGAAAATTTGATTCGAAGAAAAAGAATGAGATAGAACTGATTATGAAAGCTCCGGAATTTTTTCTCGTAGCAAAATCACATTTTTTGCAATTAATAAGGGTTTCTTTTTTTTACAATTTTTCTTGCATATATTTATTATAACAAATATCTAATGAGCAAGTCGACCAAACTGGCAATTTATTACAATTGTTTAATACAACGTTTCGACCGTCATTGCGGTCCTTTTCAAGTATCTAAGACGGATATATTTATCACTGTAAATTGCTCATTAGATATTTGTTTCAATTATTACTGGCGACCTTTTGAAGAATTTATTTATTATAATTGTTGTGCGTATAAAATCTTGTCCTAAATTAAATTTCCATCTATTCAGATCGCTTTAAAATTCATCAAATAGAAAAAAATAATAATGTTAATCCATGAATTTGTAAAAAAAACTTTTACATGCTGTTGTTATTTATGAATCAGTTCAATATCTTAATTAACGAACTGAATTTAAGAATACATACCGGCAACTTGTTCCGCCGGAAGCTCGTCGGCCTGTGAACATGGAAAAAATATACGATAAATAATAAGAATTATAATTATAATTATCACTATAAATATAAAATATGCAATTAAAGATACCTATAGTAAACATTATTTCATTCTCATTAATCGAAAGTATTATGCACAAATTGTTAAAGACTTCGAGTAGATTTGATACGTTCAATTAAAAGTTGACACAATTATATACATTTGAAAGAAACATTCGTGCATTGTTATATTAATTCATTCAATTCATTCGAATTAAAATTAATTCAATTTTTAAAATCGAATTTACCTTTTCTCAAATTTTAAAGATTTCAAGTATATAAAATATCTCGAAATTAGTTACATCTATAAAAACATTAAGAACCTTTGCATGCAATATATTACAGAATAATGGAGATTTTTGGAATCTATTAAACAATTAATTATAATTATATATGATTTTTTCATGGTAGGCTATTTTTAGATAATTTATTACAAATTAAATTGTCTTCCTTATCCGAAAATCTCAATTACTCTGTTATATTCAACTTTACCAATAATAATAATTATTTATCCAAATGGACTTGTTCGAAACCGCTACTTTAAGCATTAATTTTATTATGACACAAATGCAGAAAAAATTTCTTTATTTATGTTCGAAATAATAAAACGGGCCTTATTTTCGACGATAATGTTAAAAGTAGCGGAGTCGAATTGACTCGCCGTCTAAGAAACAGTCACGTTTTTCCAGAATCCCGTCCATATCGCCGGTTCCAAAATATCTCTCTCAACCGGAAGTGGCCGATCAATTAGGTGCTTTACGCCCCTAGGCATACTATTAAATTACTAAATAACATTATTAGACAACTACCTGAAAATCCGAGCTCTACATGCTAATATATATCGTTACTGAATCACGATGCATAAAAAATAAAACAAAAAAGGGTGCACAAGCGAGAGAGAGAGAAATTCAGAGTTAAATACGTGCAAATATATATATATATTTTTTTTTTTTACAATAATTAGAAATAGAGAGAAACAGAAAGATAGAGAGGAAAGAAAGAGATGGTTAAAAATACAACGAATATATAACTAGACAGATAGACAGTAGATAGGAAATAAACGTGTATGTTTACCAGGGCGACGACTTACGATATCATCGATAGAACATACCATGATGGCGGCGCGACTTTTTTTAATTTATATTCTACTTAAAACACCAACAAGATATTATACTGTCGCGGTCTCGCAAGACTCTCTTATGTCCGTCCGAAGGGAAGAAACGAAAACGTGTGTGTTTGATAACGGGAGGAGAAAATAGGCAGAATGTCTCTCTTTCCTTTTGCGAGCCGCCGATTTAAACGCACTGCCGGGAGGCGCAGCGACGCCGCGGTAAATATTCGAACAGGACGATATAGCGGTTGCGTGATCGCGAGCTCCAGCCAATCGTAGGTCCATCCTCCGTTCGGTGGTCCACCAGAGCGAGAGAAGCCCTCGGGAAGGCGCGCTTGCGCTATTTCTGGGACGACGTATCTTTATGCATGTGTATATGCGAAGAGAGGCGGGCTTCTTAATTCTCTTTTCTCCTCTTCGTCTCTCTCTCTCTCTCTCTCTCTTCTTGAATTCTCGAATCCGATAACGCAGAGGTGCCGAAGGTTGATGCTGCGCGCGAGATCTACCTGCGAATTGGAAGAGAGAAAGAAAATTAGGGAGAATTTAATTTTTCAGTTTTTTACCTCGAAAAATATAGCTCAAAGTTTCGAAATTTTTGGGCAAATCTCAGCGTACGTCATTTTCACGCCGAATGACGTCATTAGATAAGATAAAGGATAAATTTGTAACGAAAAGATTTGGGACATCCTTACGCTTCTTTGATTGATCTATCTAATCATCAATTAATATCTTTTAATAATATTCCAAGTAGCAAATTGACGTCAAAATAACGTCATTTTAACGTTTAATGACGTCAATTTGCTACTTGAGATATTATTAAAGGATAAATATGTAACAAAAATTTGAACATCCTTATACTTCTTTGATTGATCTATCTAATCATCAATTAATATCCTTCAATAATAACCCAAGTAGCAAATTGACGTCATTTTGGCGTTTAATGACATCAATTTGCTACTTGGGATATTATTAAAGAATATATAATGAAAAAATTTGTACACCCTTATACTTCTTTGATTGTGTGATCCATCTAATCATTAATTAATATTCTTTAATAAAACAAATTAATGTCAAAATGACGTTTAATGACGTCACTTTGACGTTTAATGACGTCAATTTGCTACTTGGGATATTATTAAAGAATAAACCTGTAACGAAAAAATTTGAACATATCCTTGCAATTCTTTGATTGATCTATTGAATCAATTAATATCCTTTAATAATACACCAAGTAGCAAATTAACGTCATCAAACGTCAAAATGACGTCAATTTGCTCTACTTAGAATATTATTAAAATAATCTATAACAAAAAATTTGAACATCCTTACACTTCTTTGATTGACCTATCTATCTAATCATCAATTAATATTTTACGAGGGCGAGATTAATTTTTAATAATATCCAAGTAGCAAATTGACGTTGAAATGACGTCATTTTGATGTTTAATGACGTCAATTTGCTACTTGGAATATTATTAAAGGATAACTCTATAACGAAAAAATTTAGATATCCTTATAATTCTTTGATTGATTAGAAATAAAATCTACTTTAATAGAAAGTAGAAAGTGTCACTATGCGATATATTAAATTTAGATTTGATTAATTTTCGCATCGCTGTTCATTTGCACTTGTTTCGCATCCTGAGCCAAGAAGCATTAATCAAAGAACTTCGATGCAAAGCTGAACAAGATGTGCGATTTAAAAATCTAAATACTTTTTTTGTTCAATTATTTATGCAAAACTAGTAATTATTACGAAGATAATTATTCGAATATAAAATCAATGACAATTAATTCAAGAATTTTTTAAAGACACGATTATGATTTAAATAGCAATGATTAAATTTGCAAAAGCAGTGATTTTTGTATAGAATAACATAGAGAAGCAGACAATCGTGTTTATATATAAATAAATAAATTAAATAAATACATAAGATAAATTAATTATTCGATTATAAAATCAATGACGATTAATTCAAGAATTTTTTAAAGAAACATTATAATTTAAATTTATAAAATTATTTGCAGAAGAGGTGACTCTTGTATAAAACAAAAACAGACAATTTATACTAAGACTAATTATTACGAGTATAAAATTAGTGACAACTAACGCAAAATTGTTTTTAAAAATACGATTGTGATTTAAATAATAACAATTTGTAAAATTAAAGTGTAATTCTAGTATAGGACAAAATAGAGAGAGGCAACTGACAATTTTGCGTTTATAATCAAATAAACTATAGAATTTTGCAAGTATATTTGATATATGAAAACGCGGTATTCTACACGGACGGTTTTTATTTTTGATCATTGTATGATTACAACCGTTCTCTCTCTCCTGCGAGAGAAACGTAGCCGTACTACTGCAGTGGTACGAAAATAGAGGATGAAAAATCCTGCGGTTTAGAGTAAGCGACAGTAAAACGTAGAAACGTATGGTGCAAACCGGATAAATCGATGTCAGACTCGCCATTTGGAATCGAGACAAAAACCTTCGCAAACAATAGAAGCAGAAGCGACAGATAATTCAATCAAAAAATATCGTGTTAAATTTCTTTCGCGCGAAAACGATAACAATGTGTGACAAATATAAAATCTCTTGTAATCGGAAAACGTGACAATTATAGATCTACAAGATGTAACTATTTAAAATATGATTTTTCTTTCGAAAAAACACTATTATTTTATCTTATGTTAGAATATATAATAATTATGCACTTTTGCATTAAAATATTACTTCTCTTTCAAAAGAACATTATTTTATCTTATGTTAGAATGTATAATAATTATGTACAATTATTGTACATAAATGTTCAAATAAACATTTTTAAATGAATAAAAAGCGATTTAACTAATTAATTTTACCGTTTTTAAAATATTTTTGAAAATGATGAGTTTCTAATAAATTTTTAACATTTTTTTACTACTTATTGTTAGGTCTATTTGTAACAGCCTCAAAAAATTGAAAAATTGATGAAAAGATAATTGGAAGAATTGTTTTATTATTTTAATACAATTTTAATTTCAGTTTTTGAGACCTGTAATTACAAATAATTTATAATAATTATGTACAATTATTGTACATAATTGTTGTAAAATATGTATTAATTAGAATATTATTTCTATTTCGAAGAAATATTTTACCTTATAATATATATAATAATTAATTAGAATATTACTTTTTTCGAAATAATTATATAATTAATTAGAATATTATTTTTCTTTCGAAAGAATATTATTTCATCTTTATATATGACATATATATATAATAATTATGTATTCCTGTATATTAATTAGAATATTACTTTTCTCTATCGAAAGAACATCATTTTATCTTATAATAATAATGATATACTCTTGTGAAATATTACACATGATTGCAAAAGTATATACGATATACATATATATATACAAAAGATTATCCGATATAGAATTTTGCTCGACAAATTCGTCGAAATGCAGCTGTCGTATTACGCCATAATCATATATAAAATTATACTAAAATTTGTCATACAAATCTGACACTTTCGGAGTTGTCGAATATTCGACGATGTTTCTGAAAATGAACACGAAAATTTAATTAAATCTCGAAACGAAAGCACGTGTCGCATTTTATATAGCAATCCCTTTTTACTTCTTATATATCAACCGACAATAAAATTATTTATTCAAATTTTATTTCTGTGATGTTATATTTACACAAATGAGATATAATGTGAATATATTTGAAATTAATTAATGCGTTTCAATCAGTGTTAAAAATGAAGTATTTTTCTATCTTCTTATAATTGACAATTTTGTAATATTTATTTTGTAATGAATTCATTCCTTTTAATCAGTTAAAATTAACCAATTAATAAATTTAAAAATATTAAATAAAAGGCAATTTTTTAATAGGTATTACTGACGTTTGTATTATAATTAATATAATATTAATATTAGTGTTCAACATTTTTTGTATTGGCCAGTCAAGTCGGATTTTAACAAATCACTTTGAAATATTAATATTAATTATATTATAACACAAGCATAAATTAATATATATATTATAAGATAAAATATAATGTGATATTTTGAGAAATAATATAATTATTAATATCGCGCAAAAAAGGTGCAATAAAAAAATGTAAAGTACAGAATTTATACACATTTTACGTATTTTCGCGTGTGCCAGGCAGATTTCCGGACACTTTGACAGATCGAAATGAACGATGAGACATAAAAGAGCGCATGGACACTTGCCAGCAGAAAATCTCTGCGCGGACAGTGCTCTGAATGAAAACAATAAACAACCGTCTTATGTACATATGTGTGTATACATATTCGATTTTATATTTCTATGTTTGTACACACATTTTATTGCTAAAACGCCTCTGTCACACTTTGCTAATTCTTAATTAATTTTACGCGCAAAACAAAAATCCGCTCTGTAAATGTAGAGAAATATTTAATATATTTATATATTAAATATTTATATATTTATATATTTTTATATTAAATATTTTCTGAAATATTTAATCTAGAAAAATTGCACTATGTAATTGCAGGTCTCGAAAACTGAAATTAAAATTGTATTAAAATAATAACACAATTCTTCCAATTAGCTTTTCATCAATTTTTCAATTTTTTGAGGATGTTATAAATAGACCTAACAATAAGTAGTAAAAAAATGTTAAAAATTTATTAAAAACTCATCAGTTTCAAAAATATTTTAAAACCGTTAAAATTAATTAGTTAAATCGCTTTTTATTCATTAAAAAATATTTATTTTAACATTAATGAAATATATAAATACTTATTTAACGTTTATTAAATATCTATTTTATCAATATGACTAGAATATTAATAAAATAAACATTAAATAAATATTCATATTAAACATTAACGTTAAAATAAATGTTTTTTTAATGAATAAAACGGAATTTAACCAATTATTTTAACGTTTTTAAAATGTCTTCGAAAATGAATTTTAAACATTTTATATATATATTTTTGCTATTTGGGGACTAGAAACAGCTTATCATTCGCCAAGCAGCCGAACGCAAATACACTTCTATTATTCATTCTTTGAAACAAAAACACAATTTGTTTATCTGTTTTGAAAAACAGTCTAATTTAGCTCATTTTGATATATTTAGCCGCACTAAGATTTCATCGGAATGTATGCGCGCATACACAAACAAAATTTGCGACATAAAGACAGATAGAGAAAGAGAACAGAAACTGCTTTATTCGCGAAGTTACAACAGTCTCATATTTCATGCACATTTATTATTTAATATAGTCATTTTGAGTTTTATTTGACAAATATGTCCTTTTGCGCGAGCATCAGTTAAGATCGATTCGAAAAGCACATTAAAATCGACGAGAATCGACCATGCGATTATTTGTTGACCGAAATGCGCACACAAATTACATACAAAATTGCATTATTGGACATTAAATGTGCATATGGACATTAGTGCATGTCGACAAATCGGCGATTCGGTATCATTAATGCGGACGCTCTCCAATTTTATTATAAACAAACGAAACTTGGCATTCGCGTGTGTGATTGAGATATTTACGCACTCGACAAGTTGGATCATTTCAGATCGTTGCTTTATTAGTTTTTGAATTTGGCATCGATAAATCATGCTCTTGGCACGTACTTCACGTTTTTCCGCATCGCGTGGTTTTCATCTCGTAATCTCGCTCTCGTGAAAATCCCTCGTTCGAGTAATATACTTCCAGTCACGTGCGGTTTTTATTTATGTAGATTAGTTGTAATAATAATATCTCGGTCTGATTCATTCTTTTGGAAATTACAAATCGTCCCACGTCGTATTACGAGTTAACAAAGCCATACTGGAAAATAAAAAAAGATGTAATCGAAATTGTCGAGAGCAGATTTGATGTAAATTTTGATACGAATTTTATCAGCGAAATTTATTTGTTATAATTTTAGTTGATGCTGCGGCAAGATTCAAGCAGAAATCTAAGATATTTTTATTTACAAATTATCTTAAAGTTGTATTATGCGCTAATAAAATTCTAGAAGATAAAAAAATTCTTGAAGATATATAATTAAAAATTGTCGAGATTTTGTGCAAATTTTTTATTCCTACGAATTTTGTCAGCGAAATTGATCTGTCATAATCAGTTGATGCTGACAATAAGATTCAAGCAAAAATCTAAATAGAAATTTATTTACACTGAAAACAATTAAAGTAATAAATATTTATTTCAACACTGCCTAATAAATTATTTATTTTAAACAAATAAATATTTATCTGTTTTGAAAAAGACTTTTTTATATCAAATAAATATTTTTCACATCAAATCAATATTATTAGTTTCAAATAAATGAGGTATGAGGCAGTATTGAATTAAATATTTATTCAAATTCAATAAACTTTTTTCAGTATACAAATCATCTTAAAATTGTATTATGCGTTAATAAAATTCAAGAAAATAAAAAAATTATAGATATATAATTAAAACTTGTTGAAATTTTGTGGAAATTTTGCTACAAATTTTGTCAGCAAAATTGATCTGTCATAATCAGCAGAAATCTAAATAGAAAATTTATTTATTATACAATAAATCATCTTAAAGTTGTATTATGCGTTAAAAAAATTCTAAAAAATAAAGAATTAAAGATATAATAAAAGTTATTGAAATTTTGTGCAAATTTTGCTACAAATTTTATCAACAAAATTGATCTGTCATATAATCAGCTAATGCTGACAAGATTTCAAGCAGAAATCTAAATAGAGATTTATTTACAAATTATCCTAAAGTTGTATTATGCGTTAATAAAATTCTAGAAAATAAAAAAGTTGAAGATATATAATTAAAAGTTGTCGAGATTTTGAGCAAATTTTGCTACGAATTTTGTCAACGAAATTGATCTGTCATAATCAGCTGATGCTGGATTTATTAAGAAGAAAATCTAAATAATTTAGATGAGATTCAATTTTTAGAATAATATATATATTATTATATATATTATATTATATAATAATATATTATATTATATTATTATATAATATATATATTATATTATTATATTATTTTTGTATAAATGATATCTGTCATTAATCAGCTAAACTGATCTGTCATAATCAGCTGATGCTGGATTTATTAAGAAGAAAATCTAAATAATCTAGAATATAAGATTCAATTTTTATAATAATATACATTAATATATATATATATATATATATATATATATATATATATTATACAATATAATATATTATATTATTTTTGTATAATAACCTATATATTTACATCATGTACGTATAAATATCGAACTGCAACGTCTTTACCTCTTCTTCCTCCATCGAATTCTACTTAAATCACACAAAGTATTACAACACAGAAAACTAAATTACTCAAAATGCAGCTTCGAATTCGATTTGTTAACAATTTTTCCCTGAAAAAAAGTAGCGAACAATCTTTCAAATTAACAAACGCACGAGATAAAATAAACACAAGCACCGTGAACATTGCATCGAGTCAAGCCTCTCGATTAGTCGAACAATCGAACTCAGCTGATATCGATTCCTCCCCCTCTGTAGATGACATTTTATTTACTGTATTTACCCGAGAGTAAACAGAAACGCTCTCTCTTTCGCCGGGAATATAATTGAATATTCCGTTCGACAGATATACGTCGCTACAGACGCGTACTCGTCATATCTTCGCTGACAGCTGACAGCTGACAGCCGGACGAGGAAGGATGCCCGGGACTCCGATGGAGCAGGACAACAACGTGTTGGGGAAGCTGCAGAGCGAACGCTCGCCGGACGAACCGAAGAACGAGTCCGTCGTGCGCGAAATCACGCAGACCGATCGGCTGAACAAGAAGCTGCTCGTGTCGGTCCTCGAGCGGATGAAGAAATCGGACGGGCAGTTCGACAAGTTTATGGAGGACGAGAGGGGAAATTGCGAGTCGCACGACGACAGCGATTTCTAGGCGGGACCGGTACATCGAGCTAACTTAACCTATATGTGTGTATTTTGACACTTGTTCGTTGTTCGAAGAATTTTAGGAATGCGTTTTTCAATATTTTTTTAGAAAATATTTTTCCACGATTTTTTTTTTTTTTTTTTTTTATAGAATTTAATTTCTATTAATTTTGCAGGAATTTTACACGTAGGAATTTTATGTGAATTTTATTTTTTATTTTGATCGAGATCTATTATTTTTAGATGTTTAGTTGTAAAATTTTATATGAATTTTATATAAATTATTTTATATGAATTTTTGTATAAATTATTTTATATGAATTTTTATATAAATTATTTTATATGAATTTTATATGAATTATCTTACTTAACCTATATGTGTGTATTTTGACACTTGTTCATTGTTCGAAGAATTTTAGGAATGCGTTTTTCAATATTTTTTTAGAAAATATTTTCCCACGATTTTTTTTTTTATAGAATTTATTTTCTATTAATTTTGCAGGAATTTTATGTGAATTTTATTTTTTATTTTGATCGAGATCTATTGTTTTTAGATGTTTAGTTGTAAAATTTTATATGAATTTTATATAAATTATTTTATATGAATTTTTATATAAATTATTTTATATGAATTTTATATGAATTGTTTTAGGTATATGAATTTTATATGAATTACCTTACTTAACCTATATGTGTGTATTTTGATACTTGTTCATTGTTCCTTGAAGAATTCTAGGAATACGCTTTTCAATATTTTATTAGAAAATATTTTCCCACGATTTTCTTTTTTATAGAATTTATTTTCTATTAATTTTGCAGTAATTTTATGTGAGTTTTATTTTTTATTTTGATTGAGATCTATTATTTTTAGATGTTTAGTTGCAAAATTTTATATGAATTACTTAACCTATATGTGTGTATTTTAACACTTGTTCATTATTCGAAGAATTTTAGGAATGCGTTTTTTAATATTTTATTAGAAAATATTTTCCCACAATTTTCTTTTTTATAGAATTTATTTTCTATTAATTTAGCAGGATTTTTATACGTTTTATGTGAATTTTATTTTTATTTTGATTGAGATCTACTATTTTTAGATATTTAGTTGCAAAATTTTATATGAATTACCTTACTTAACTTATATGTGTGTATTTTGATACTTGTTCATTGTTCACCGAAGAATTTTAGGAATGCGCTTTTAAATATTTAATTAGAAAATATTTTTCTACGATTTTCTTTTTTATATAATTTATTTTCTATGAATTTTTATATATGATTTTTATACAATGTTTTATGTGAATTTTATTTTACATTTTGAATGAGAAATCTATTATTTTTAGATAATTAGTTGTAAAATTTTATATGAATTTTGTATGAATTTTATATGAATTTTATTTTATATATTTCTTATATTTTATATAAAACGCTATCGCTTGATAAAGAGTGTTTTTCGCATTCTATTTCAAGATAAGAGCATTTTATAAAATATAAAATAAAATTTATATAAAATTCATATAAAATTTTATAACTAAATATCTAAAAAAAACTGGATTTCTAACTAAATATTTATTTCATAAAGAAAATTGTTAGAGACTTTGCATAAAAAAAAATAGATTATAGAATTAAATTAATTATTTAAAGAGTGTTGTTTTAGATTCCTAAAATTTTGTATTATAACAAGCAGCAATATGATTATAAATACTTGTGTATACTTAATGATTAAATAATTATTTTTTTTTTTATGTTTTAGAAATCCAGTATATAATTGATACTTAAACTTAATAAGATACTTTATATACTATCATGACGGACATTCCTGATTACGAGGGGGATGATGATATCGTGGATTACTATGAGAATAAAGAGTCTGATGATGAGCGTGGTAGCCTTGGAGTGGCAGAGGAAGCAACTTCGGATAACGAAGGAGAAAGTGCACGAAGAATCGATCCATCAAAGCCTAAATCGCATACAGTAAGAAAACCTATTCCCAAATTGAACACAGAACGATTGAAAGGTGCAAATGGTATTCATACCATCGAAAAGTATTTCGAGGGTTTCAAGTTTTATGGAAAAGGACACGAGAAGACAGACCTCGACAGGATCATGAAAAGATTGGAACACTGGTCCTACAGATTATTTCCAAAGTACCATTTCGATGATTTTCTTACAAGAGTCGAGCAGCTTGGAAAGAAGAAGGACTTGCAGGTTTTTATTAAAAGATACCGATTGAATATGGTCTCTTCGGATGATAATTTAATTATCGATGATAATGTGGATGATGAAGAGGATCAACAAGAAAGTGCACCTCTGGACGACTTTGATTTATTAATAACTGAACAAATTCAAAAACAAAAGCAAGCTGAAGCACGAGCTTCTACACCTGCAGCTCCCAGCACTTCTAACGAGGATGCGTTTGATCTACTTTTGACACAATCCAATAATATATCAAATTCACAAGCACCAGAACCTGCAAGCACTGCCAAGGATGATTTGAGCACTGAGATGAAAGAAAGGATTGAAAGAAACAAACAGCTAGCTATTCAAAGAAGACTTCAGAGGCAGAAGGAACGCGAGGAAGAAGAATCCAAGAAAATGAAATTGGTCGAAAGCACAAATATAGAAACTCTAAATGAAAATAATAATCCTACAGTTCATAACGAGATAGATGCATCTCAGGTCGATAGTACGGGCTCACAAATCAATGAAAATGAAAATGAAGCAATTGGTGGTAAATTGGAGGAAGTACTATCGAGTGAGAAGCCAATAACAGATGATATTTAAGCGAAGTAAAATATTTACTAATATAAAATTTTTATTATATTCACATATATATGCGTATAAGACTAAGATATTATTTAGAAATATTTATTACATAAAAATTATCGCTTTACCTGTAATTATCGTAGAAATAAGCCAAACTGTAGTTGTTAGAAATGTTTATGCAAAGATAAATTTCAAATACTTAATAAATAAAAATTTAATTTTTATTGAAATTTATATTTGCTCGTATCACATAATTAATTTCTACGCTTTTGTGTACTGATGTACAATACATTGTTCCCTCTTATGAAAGCATCTCCGTACTTGTCCTTTAATTGTCCGTTAACATATTCCTCTGTCTGTTCAAGCGCAATGTTCATGTAGCCATCTATACAGGCTAATACACCTATAAATAAAATACTTGTTTTAGAATGTAAAAGTATCAAAAAAGATTTCAAGATTTATAAAGCATATGAGATGTTAATCAAGTAGAAAAGAAGTAATTTTTATTTTTAATAACAATACGATTGAAAAATTTGTGTAAAAAACAGATATTACATGTCAGAAACGGTTTACAGAAATTTTTATGTTAATTTAACATAACATGAATATATGTTAAATAGAGACACATATACTGTATTAATATTTTAACACAAAATAAATGCAAAACTTCAAATAATTTAAAATAAATTTTGTGTAAAATATTAATATAGTTTTAATGTAAAAATTAACTAAAAATATGTTAATTTTAAATGTTATCATCCTCACTTATATTATAAAATAAAAAATAAACATTTTTTCCTGTAAATTTTAATAGATAAATTTTGTCACTAATAAAACAGAACATTTATTGTGTAAAATTAAAAATAGATGCGCATTGTGTTATTTTTACATCTTTTTTCAATTGTTTTATAATAATTTAATATTTAAGTTCAATTAACACAGCAGCAATATGTTAAATTAACACATAAATATATTAAATATTTAATACAAAAATTTTAACAAGAAAACACAAATTTTCCTACTGTGTATAATAACTAGAAAAATATTGATTTAATTATAAAAAAAAATTTACCTCTGTAATCGACACCGCTGTTCAATTTTACGACAACAGGTCGTCCGTGAATTTGTTGAATAAACTGAGATAACGCTTCCTTCCGACTCATCTATTAAAATACATAAAAATATGTAATGAATTAGTAGAGAAATTATACATAAAAATCCTGTTTATACACGTGACGTTTGTCGTAATTTTCAATAGTAGCATAATAAATAAAGGACGAGTATAATTGTCATAATTTAGATTTTACGTACCTTTGCAATTAATACGCAAATATTGAATTAACGTGTAAATATTTTGATTTCAAACAGTTTTAACCTAATCTAAAAACTGATCTATCATCAACATCTGCGATGCCGGTCGCAACTTTTCCTAGAACTGCGTTGACTGGTCGTCCACGATTAGTTGTCCACCAATAGAATTGCCGAAACGTTTACTTATTTTCATGAGAACTTTTTATGTGTACTCGAACTGACGAGGTCACGTGACTAAACGCGCAATTTTCATTGGCGCTATTAATGCTCGATTGACCAATCAAAACAAGAATAAATATTTTTCCAGATTCGTATTCGAAAAAATTGCAGTAAATAAAATTCATCAAAGCCAATGTATATTAATTTTACATTTGTTTATCATTTTTACACTTAATTATAATTTTTATTTTTGGTAATAAATAATAAATTAATATATATAATATCCCAAGTAGCAAACTGGCGTCATTAAACGTATAAAAATGACGTCACTCGACGTCAAAATAACGTTATTTTGACGTTTAATTTGACGTTATAGTCTGCTACCTGGGATATATATTATAATATAATAATAAAATAATATATATAAATATATTACAATTATAACTATATTATAATTATTAAAATCATATATTATAGTTATAACAAAATGTGTAGTATAATTTTGCGTACAATTTTTTTCAGTTAATTTCGAAAATTAAGTTAATATATATAACTTTTTTGTTATCGCAAGAAGTAAAAATAACTTCCGCATGAATTTAAAATCTATCTATAATTTTAAAACAACCTTTGAAACTAATTTTGTTTTTTTCATTCAGCGCGCAATTATTTATGCTCATTATTCCGGTTAGTCATTTTGAATAAATGATAATTGTTATTCAAATGTCAAATGCGTGGCAAACGCACAGTGAATGCTGCTCTTTAATAAACATATATATGTATATATGATAATTAGAGATTGATTAATCGACGTGTAACAAAAAACTCATGTCAGATTATACCTTTTTTAAATTATCTGCACGCAATAAAAAGGTGCATCTCGCATGAACTTTAATTATAATTTTCGCGCACAAAAGCAAAAAGGTTTGACAAATAAGTCTACTTTTTTATTTTCACAGCACACATCACCGCATTAATTTCAAAATATTTTACTTATGCATCGAAAGCAAAAAATTCATACAAAAAATATATATATACAGAATGGACAAATATAATAAAGCGTTACGAATTTTTATCTTCAATAAAATATTATTGTTTCTACAGAGAAAAATATGTCAAATAAAAATTGTAAATAAAAATTTGAAACGCTTTATTTTGTCCACCCTGTATATATCAAAAAATGCAATACATGTTATTTAAGAGACATATTTACATATATATATGCACATTTGCATACATTTTGCGAGAAAAAGCACGAGACACGATAAAGTGTAGAAAGTGTCATAAATGTCAGTGGGATAAATTTTTTTTTTTTTTTTTTTTTTTTTTTTTTTGACTGATCGCGAATATATACTTGTTGCATTCCAAGAGCGAGAGAGTCTAGTTGCATAACATCTCGTAACGGATGTCTTTCGACGTGGAAAAGGAGAAAAGGAAATCAAAGTGTAGACCTGCTTATTGTCACCCGTCCCCTCCCTCCTGTCAGCGTCAGCTGTTCGCTTTTACTCGGAGGAGGCCAGCCTCGAAGGACCCTCGAAGATTGCGACTTTGCGACTGGAAACCTCAGTTCACGTCGGTTGATCCGCGCTCCTCGACCGTCCGGGTATTATTTTAATTCAATATTAATCACTGTTAAGTGACCACATAAATAATAAAGGTGTATTTCCTTAGATACGTATCGCGAATCATATACACACGTCAGAGGAAGTGTTTTTTGTTCCCTCGAAATTATTGCGTAAAAATACTTTAAAGTGTCAATAACAATAATTCTCGATTAATAAATATTGCTTTCGGCTCCGCGTCGCAATAATAATAATAATAATAATATGGTTTATTGGCTACCGAAGAAACGTTTCGTGAGAAGGTATACTCGCTGGTTTTATTCAATTTGCATGTATTAGATGATTTTTTTTAATACGAAGTCTTTGTCCCCCGTCTTTTTAGAGTCTAGAAGAAAAAATTGCGAACGCAATCGATATATAACGATACTACTTGTTACACGTTGGTTTGGTCTCTAGGGAACTAAGGTTTTTTTCATACTAATCTATATTCTATATGTATACTTGTGCTGTCACTTTCACCTGCCTTACACCTATACACACTAATATTTCAGTAATATTCACATAGAAGTGTTGCACATAGGAAGTATGTATCTTGTGTGAGAGAAAATAATGTACAGAGAAAGATTTTTATTTTAAGAATATCATTTTAGAATTTTGCGTGTTATGTAAATGAAAGATACATTTTTTATGAGCTAAAAGAATATATTTTTTCTTGTGTGAGAGAAAATAATGTACGTAGAAAGATTTTTATTTTAAGAATATCATTTTAGAATTGCGTGTTATGTAAATGAAAGATACATTTTTATGAGCTAAAAGAATATATTTTTTCTATTTTATATTTTATTCACATTTTTGTATATTTAAGAAAATTATCCTATGGAATTTAAATTGGCAAATTTAAAATCAATTTAAAATTTATAAGCTACATTTTTGAATATACAAAAAAAAAGTATGAATAAAATACTCGATAGAAACAAATGTGTTCTTCTATATCTTATAAAGAAATTGATAAGTATTTCTTGTACATTATTTCTATATAATTTCTACATGAAAGTTAGATGGCTTATTTTTCATCAACACCAATGTTTTATATTTATATATAATAAAAATTATATCTATAATTATTCTATTCTATCAGAGAACATTGGAAGTGACTCTGTAATAAAGCATTCAAATTAAATATCTATCAGCAATATATATTATATATTTAAAAACAATTATTTTGTACACGTACAAGCACAGAATATACAGGGTGTTTCAGAAATAGGTGGCCAAACTTTAAGAGCATATTGTACTCGCTGAAAAAATGAACAAAAGTCATATAAACATGAGTCCGGAAGCGTTTTCTTTCGAAATTATAAACATTTTTTATTTATATAGTACATTGGACAACATGCCTCGTATGGATGGTCTGTATGGAATAGAAATCAGTATTTATTTATGCATTTAAGAGCAAGGTTGCATTCATCAACATGGTAGCAACAATTTCATGCAGACCTTCCATACAAGGTATGTCGTACGACGTAAATAAGTACAATATAAATAAGAAATGTTTATAACTTGGAAAGGAAGCATTTCCAGACCCATGTTTGTATGATCTTTTTTATCATTTCAGTGAGTAGAATATACTCTTAAAGTTTGGCCACCTATTTTTGAAATACCCTGTATATACAATTTTATAAAATATACAAGTGTACTGTACTTTCTTATTATATTATTTGAATTAACTCATATATCTATATTTGACAAAATAATGATAGAAATAATTTCTTACAACAAGTTTCTGGAATTAACTTTGAAAGAAAGAGGACTTGTGACGAAAAGATAGTACTGTAAGCCAATACAGTAACTACTAACAATCACGATGTCGGGTTTTCTGCTATTAGCAGCAATAGTGCCATTCGCCATCCTTGAGATTTGGTATACGGGAATGTAAGTTACGCTGTGATATAACTGTCAATATATATATCTGTATTTATCTCATCGATGTCACTTATATATGTCATAATGTAGCTTGCAAGCTTATTTAAACGAAACACAATATAAGATTCATCTTTTGTTTGCATTGGATAAAATCTATGTGGACTTTAATCTTCGATTGTCTTAAATTCTCATCTTGACACATTGTGATATATTGTATGTACAATTTATTCTTGTGAGTCACACAGTGAATCAAAACGATGAAGGCCGCAACTTTACACAAGCTAATTGTACATAGCATGATGTAATACATACAAAATTCTGAATAGGAATATGTGTTTTATTAAACTTTTTTTTTTATTCTTCTTTAAAACTTGCACAAATTCTTTATGTTACATCAATCTGCCGATTTTTTAATTTATTCCCTTATTTAAGAAATAATGACTGTGACAAAAGTGTATATTTTTTCTGACTTAAGAGCAGTAGGAGAAGGACTTTAGAACTATCGACTCATTTTGTTGGCGGCTGTTGTGTAAATGAATTGGGATAAGAGTGGGGTATGTAGAATTGCATTCCCAAATGTATACAACAGAGAAATAGAGAGAGTGACTCAACATGATTGAGTAGCATTCCATGTTGTAACATTAATTTTCTCTCTCTTTCTCTCTTTTACATACCTACTTTTGCTTTCTCTCTTTTTCTCTCTCACACTTTCTCTTATGTCAGAGATAAAGATATATTTTGAGAACGATTCTTTGTTCTTAGATTATAGATAATTGTTTGTAAGTATTTTACAATTTCTAAAGAGATTTATATAAAATGCAATTCAATACATAAAACAATCTATATAATTTAAACCAGATTTTTATACATATACAAAAGATATATGTTTTACACCTGTAGAAAAAAATTTTTTTAAATTAATAATTAGTAAATATAAAAATTGTGTAAATTACCTACACTTGATAATTAATAAATTAATAAAGTATACATATAAATATATAAGTATTAGTGCATGCTTCATAAAAAAATTATGTAACCTACTCTATATGTTATCTACATGTATTTACATATACATTAAAGAGAGATATCATTAAATACTGTAAATATATAAAAATATAAAGCGTCATTTGATAAATAACTTTTTATGTCATAAATATGTGAAATAATATAATATCTCTTGTACATATATCTCAGGAATCAAGTGTATCTTTATACGTATCAAAATACGAATGAATAAGAATGTGAAAAATAATCTGACTACTTGATGTATACAAGGTAGAATATCTCAACAGATGATATATTTCGCATACATAAATAATTTGCTATTTAAAATTGAATTTTTATCTCATATTTTTTGTGTGTTTTATCTGCTTCTTTTAACATGTGTATGTATAAATAACGTTTATATCCCACATATGCGTTTATTTCCTCAACAACTATTGCATGCAGCTATCTTTATAATTATTAGTTTCTTGCCATTACTGTTCTCAGTTGTGAAAATTGTAGTAAAGCTATTGTTTTGTTTCTTTATTAAAATGCTAAAAAGTGTTTGAGTGTACAATGACAAAAACTCAGTAATAATTATAATTATGAGTTATTCAAGAACCATTCAAAGTTCTTTCAAAATCAATTTGAAGTAATATGTTTTCTATATGTAATTGTTATTTATTATATGACTTTCTGTAATCTTTGCTTGTATGTTATTTGTGAAAAGTACACATTTTTATCATTTTATATATTTGCTTCACTTGAAACTTATTTTTTAAAAAGCTCGTTTATTTTAAATCACTGATTATAAAAGAAATATAAACAGAAATTTTTATTAAAACAAATATATAAGTTAAAGAACTTTAGATGGTTTTGTATATTTCAAATTGTTTTTATTGTATATATTTTGTTAGTTTTGCTACTAAGCTCTTACAACTATATTGAAATTAATAAATATTAATAGTGAGATTAAAATAGAGAACTTTATTAAATTATTAGACACTTATATACATTAATGTATGTGTAAAATATATGTAAATTTTGTATTACAGATGTTTAATTTGGACTATGAAGGCATCCGCACTGATATATCTTATTATATTTGGGCTATGTCCTATAATTTTTCATTATTCCTACAACATTCAAAAAAAGATACTCTTCTTGAACTTTGGTGAGTGTATAATTAATATAAGTGTGTTATATAAAATTAGTAATATAATAACATTTGTCACTTTAAATATGTGATGCAAATCGTGTAATATCTTATATTAATATTTTTGAATTTCTTTTTCAGTGCAATGGCCACTTAAAGTAGAGTTTTCTGATCCAAGCTCAGTTGGATTGGAAGGAGCTAGGAACTTTTATTTACACACCGATCAACAAGTAAAAATAGGTGTATGGTGAGTGATTAAAGAGATCTATGTGAAATTTTTGTCTTCCGAGAAGATATTCTCTACATCGTTATATTATTAATAACGTAATGCGTACTGTTATATTAAAAACTAGTGCATTTACAGGCAGATATTACCACGGTCTTTATTAAATAATTCCATTCCTGCAACAGATGAGGCTTATGAAGCAGTTTTAAGTAATGCCACACAACCTGTATTCCTATATTTGCATGGAAACAGCGGTAATAGAGCAAGCATGCACAGGCTCGAGCTTTATAAGCTTTTCCAAGATTTGGATTATCATGTCTTATGTTTTGATTATAGAAGTGAGTATATTGGAAGCTTGGATTTATACTTTTAGAAAACATTTATGTTTATTCTAAAAATAAAAATGTGTTTAAGTCTTGCCTTTAAATGCAATTTTTAATTTTTTATCTGTCAATTTAGGCTACGGGGATAGTGACATAGTTGAACTTTCTGAAGAAGGTGTAGTTATGGATAGCAAATACGTTTTCGAGTGGGTCATGAAAAAAGTTAACGGTTCAGCTCCGGTTTTTGTTTGGGGTCACTCTTTAGGAACTGGGTAAGAGATTTTTTTTTATCAAACATTTGATTTTTCTTTACACAACAAGAGTGATTTGTGCTGTGCTTGAAATAAAGTTTTCATTTGTCATTAGAGTCTCTACGCATGTATTAGCCCTACTGGCAGCTGAAAACTTACAACCGGCTGCTTTGTTTCTGGAAGCACCATTCAACAACATACAGGATGAATTAACCGAACATCCATTTTCACAGGTATTCAAGTATTTCTTAGTTATGAGAAAGTTGAATTTTATTTCTAATACAATTTTCATTTACATATTTTTACACAGTTATTCAAACATTTACCGTGGTTCCATTGGATGATTGTGGAGCCATTTTATAAGAACAACCTACGATTTGAATCCGACAAACATATTACCAAGATCGAGTGTCCTATTATGATTCTACATGCCGAAGATGATGGCGTAATTCCAGTATTTTTGGCAGAAAAGGTATGTTTTACATCTACAACTTTTTATATTATTGCATATTATTTTATATTATATTATTAAATTGTTTTATGAGAGTAATATAATTTGATTTCATGTTTCAGCTATACAAAGCGGCAATGGATAGTCATGGAAATGACACGAATCGTGTCCAAATGGTAAAGATAGATTCATCTTTTGGACTTGGACACAAATATATCTGTAGATACAAGGAGTTACCCAGTATAATTAAGTAAGTTATCGATATATTATTATAAAATCTAGACACACACAGACTCTTTTGGTTCACGAAAATTTTTAATTCAGAATGCAATACTTTTCTTCTAGATATCATGTAACACTATATTATATTTTCAGGACATTTGTCGCTAAAGCAAACAAAAATCAGACTGAATAATTAATCTAGACTATAGAAAACTGGAATTGAAAATTGTCTCAATGTCATAATTTAGATATTTTTATTTAATTTATCTATGAATAATTATATGTTTTCGCGATCAAATTTGTTCTAGAATTATTATTAGAACTAATCTGAAGAGAACAAGCTTGAAAAAACTAGAACAATCTATAATTTTTGCAAATGCTTTACATAGTTTGAAATCCTTTCTGTGAGTTTTTAAAATACACTTTTTAAAAACTTTATATTTAATATTTTAGTATTAATGATCAACAAAAAGATTTGCAACATCAAAAAATGATATTTAATTGTGCACATTCATTTAGTTTACTATATTCACATTATATAAATTTATATAAATTTAATTAAATAAGAAATTTTATTTATAAAATATATTAAGTTATTAAAAAAAAATATGTATGTAATTACATGTGATATATGTAATGTAAGACATTTATCTTTGGAGAATTAGTATACTGTACAATGACATTTTTATATGTCGTAAACAAATATATTCAACAATACAGGATTGTCGTCTGTTAAATAAATGGAATATATGTTGATAGCAAATACTGTGATATTGACAATGAAAGATATAATTTAATAGAGATTAATTTCACGTGATTAACTCGTGAAACAATTTATATAGAAAACATTCTCGAAATCATGATATTGAGATTAATTTCACGTGATTAACTCGTGAAACAATTTATATAGAAAACATTCTCGAAATCATGGTATTACTATGCTCTCTTGTATTGTACAATTCTTTTATTTGTAGCAGTGCATATAATTTTAAATCACATAATAAGCACATACTGTTCTGATGTTTATTATCATATTGACATTATTAAATGTTGACAATGAGTGAGAATTGTGTATTATTATATAGATATATTATTTAATATTAATATTCAACGTGAAATAATTTACCCATAATTTTCTGATACATATCACTTGCTTCTTCACAAGTATGTAAATATAAATATTTAATTTTTAATATAATAATAATATAAAAACAAACAGTAATAATATAAATTTGAATTTAGATTAGCGTTACATTTTCTTACATGATTGATTGACAAAGTTCCATTATGATAAAGAAAAAGAAGAAATATTTCTAGACAAGCAATGAATCGAAAACAGCTCTCTTTTGCGAATAAAATCTTCATCAAATCAAAATATTTTCGCAACTAATTATTATATATATACAATTGATCAGTTTATTAATATGTATAAATTTTTAAAAAACAATTAATTCTCCGTATTCTTAACATCTTATTGCAACAAATATGAAAATGATATTTATTTCATAAGTCTGTTAGGGCATTGCTTGCATTTTTTACGTATAAATAATGTTCGAAATTATTATCTCATTGTAAATACTCATTTTTTTTTAAATTTCTGAAAATTATTATCAGTGTCTAAGAAAATAAAATACTGTAATATATAGTATAATATGTTAATTGCTATAAAATTTTATGTATGTATATAATTATTTTAATATAATATTTATTATATCTATTATATATTTTAATATTTATAATATATATATGTATTAGATATTAAATATTATATATACCAGTTAGCAAACTGACGTCATTAAACGTCAAAATAACGTCATTTTGACGTTTAATGACGTCAGTTCTGCTACCTGGGATATATAATATTTATTATAATATTTAATATCTAATATTTATATTATACAATATTTAATAATTATATATTGAATTGAATAAAAAATTACGAGACGTGAGAGCGCTAATTATCATCTTGACACAACTGTCAAACCGCGAATACGTCAAAATGAGGAATTTGTCCCAGATGTCGACTGTCATTTCATAAATGCGGACGGTTGCGCGCGCAGCAATGGCGCGTGCAGCAGACGACAGCTGTGCAGGCTGGACGAGGGGGTAGAGAGGGAGGGGGGAGGGAAGCATGGCACACCGCAGTGAGTGAGACACGCGCGTCTCTTTCACTCGGTTGTCGCGCGACCGCCCGTCAGGAGGGTGGATACCGTTCGTTCTCGTCCTGGAGCCCGGACCACGACGACGAGGAAGAGGAAGAGGAATATCCTGTGGACGGGGATGTCGCAAAACGAGGGCGCACCGGCTGCGCGACTCGCGATTTCACGAGTGCAAGAGTGAATATAAGGTCTTCGAGTGAGTAAAAAAAGTCCGCTTCTTCGTCTTCGATTCCTGCCGGGAAGAAACAGACTTCCGCTTCCGGCTTTTCCCGCCGATCTAGCCGGGAATGACATCACGTTCTATATATGTGTATATATATGTGTGTGTGTGTGTGTAATTCATGTAGAGCACGTGGCACTTGCTCTCATATTTCAGATATTTTTTGCTCTCTTCTCTTTCAAGTTTCCCATTCACGAATATTTCATTGTTTTGTAATAAAAAAATTTTTTTGATCTCGTGAAATAATCCGAGGAATTTTTATCAGTACGTATACAAACATTTTACAGTTATCTGACAGGTTGAACCGATTTTCTATCCTCTTTTCTAGTTTCATAATTAAAGAGAGAGAGAGAGAGAGAGAGAGAGTTGTGCCTTATATTTAAAAAAAACAAGAAAAATGTGTGAAGTGCTAAAATTCTCTTTACTCATTACTTAATTTGGCTGGTTTTTAAAGAGGTAATTTTAAAAATGGTTTATAATTTGTTCACACAAATTGAAATTAATATCCTCTCTATACAGAATTTTTCCTATATTAACGATTAATGATTGCTGTTTTAATTACTATTATCTTATCGGGATTATTTGTAAAAGTCAAATCTTAAAGAAATTCTCCGATTTAAAATAAACACTCATTGTCAGCATGCAATTGTTTATTCGTGTCAAATTATCGTCTTTTGTATCTTTGTCGCAAATTCGAAATTTCGCGGATGCATCGCAGATAAATGCATATTTTTATCACAAAGAACAGAGAGAGAGAGAGAGAAAGAGAGAGGGGAGAGTACTATTTCTATTACATAATGCAATTTACATAATGCTACGAGAATAAAAAAAGATATATAAGAATATTCTTTTAGTTTGCAATATATTCTTTTTTCGTATTTATGTATTGATTTATTCGCTTTAATTTTTTCTGTTTTACAATAAAATTTTGTTTATTTACAATTTTTAAAATAAATTTTGCAAAAAAATAAGGGATCAACACAGATACATGAGAAAAAAGATATGTATTGTAAACTAAATTAAAAGAATATTTTTATACAGAGAAAAAAATATATTGTAATTGTATTGTAATTTAATTCAGAGACCTTTTTTTATCATTTTTTTTTGCAAAATAATTAAGAGATCAACACAAACATAAAGGAAAAAAGAAATATATTGTAAATTAAATTAAAAGAATATTCTCTCAAAGAAAAAGATATATTGTAATTAATGCGGAGTGAAGTAGATATATTATAATTGTCTTATAATTTGATTTAATTCAGAGAAGAATTTTTTTACAAATTTTACAAAAAAAAACAAAACAACATCGACACAAATATACAGGAAAAAGGGATATTTTAAATTAAGAAAAGACTATTCCTTTTTTTACGCGAAGAAAAGGGTATATTGTAATTAATGCGGAACGAATGAAGCATTATTGTAATTGTATTACAATTTTAATCCTCGAAGAGGGATTCTGTCGAGCGGCCACTTTGAATATCCGCGCCACGAAGAGAACTGCAACGCCATCGCGTTGTATGCAGGTTGCGCGATGCACTTTAGTTAGACACTTTGACCGCTAGGCGGTTGCTACCTTATACCTGGCTGCGATTTATTTAACAAAATAATTGCAAAATTGTATGAAAAGTCCCTCGACGGGTCCGAATAACCGTCGTCAAAAATTTCCGGATATTTATTGAATTTATTGGAATACTGCATATCGAAATCTCGGGCTCCGTAGTCTAGCTCGTAATGTGCACACCTTACTACGGTGTTTCCCGATAGCGCTCTTGTCCGATGCATTTCGTATATAAGGGAGAATCGCCGATACTGCTTACGGGTAGTCTGATGCTTCCCAGGGAAAACTACGAACGCATATATGCGGCCTTCTTCGCTTTATAATAACGATGTCTCTGTTCAGCATCATATCCAGTACTCACGTTCAGTTCGAAAACCACGTGCGTACAGGTTTGAAACCACAAAAAAAAAAAATCGGGTCGGTATTGCTTGTTTGTCATTTAAATGAACGACTGAGGAAGCGAAGTTTGACTATCTATTTTGCCAAAAATCTTAAAAAATTTTGCTCTTTTTCAGCAGCTCGATAACAACACGTTCTACTCAAAATTAATTCTATTTTTTTTGCAAATTTTACAGAAACTTTACAGATAGTAAGCGTACGTCATTTTGACGTCATGACGTCTATGACATCAATTTGCTATTATTTGAAAGAGATAGAAATTATTTATATATTATTATTTAAAAAATAATTTTGCATATACATATACATCAATATTTCATGAGTCAATTAGTTCCGTGTTTAATTCATTGATAAAATTTTAAAAAATGTTGCTCTTCCAGCATTTGAATAATAATAATCGTAGTCGAAAAAACATATATGTCATTTTAAGGTCATTGACATCATTAGACGTCAAAATGCCATCTAATGACATTAATTTGCTACTTGGGTTGTATTATTCGTAAGATATAAATTATTTATTATTTATTATTATTTAATAAACAATTTTGCATAAACATACGCAAAGGTTTTCATAAGTCAGTTATTTCCGCGTCTAACTCTGACGCACATTTCTTTTTTTATAAAGATATTCATCGCTGAAATGCGTAGAAGATAAGTTACTGACAGACGTAAGAGTTTTCTAGAAATCTCCGTTCATCGAAAAAAAACATTTTTTTCTCTTCCGGATTTTAACATTTGCTTGACATCGCGCGGCCACGTGGACTTCATGGGCGTATTCTAAGCAAACGTTGGACCGAGACACGAGACAGATTTTAAGTCGAGCACGCGATATCTTCGAAGGGAGAGGAGGGGGAACCAAGGGAAGGGCAACAAGGCGACTCTTGTCGGACAGGTCGGCGACGATTCTTGCATTCTATCGGGAAACCAGCGTGCGTGGCGTGTTCGGTAACGAGAAATAATAATATAAGACGTATAATAAGTAATAATAATAATAAAAATAAATAAAAATAATAATAATAAAATAAAATAATAATATGAAAAATTAATATTAAAAATAATAATATAAAAAAATTATATAAAAGAAATAATATAAAAAAATAATAATATAAAAAGTAAAATAATAATATAAGACGTTATTCGGCTGTTTATTTGGTTTCACTAGCGAAAGTCAAGAAAAATCAGTAAAAATTGTTTGTTTTTCCTCGTTATCAGAAGACACCGAAAGGATCAGTTATATGGAACGAGAAGAAGACATGATGAATGGAAACGAAGGTGATTTGAGGAGCGAGGAACGTGGAACACCTGAAGGCTCCTTCGAGACTTACCCGAACGGACCGGAAATGGAGATGGAGCAGTCGGAGACCGGAAGAAAGACGAGTATCTTCAAGTATTATTCCTACAAGAAGACAGGTGAGTGTGTTTTCTAAGTGCGGATGACGGATAAACGGAGTTTGTGCACTGAAAAGAAATTATTTAATTAACAAATATTTATTTCAATAAATCCTAATAAATTATTTATATGAAACAGATAAATATTTATCACATCAAATCAATATTCTTAGTTTTAAATAAATGATTTAGTTGGCAGTATTGATATAAATATTTATTCGAATTCAATATATTTTTTCCCAGTATGCGATAAACGACTTACAAATGCAAGCCGTGGAAGAGTTTGACGTTTGACGTTTGACTGACAGTTCACGAAATCTCGCGATAATCGCAAAAAAAAAAAATTTAAGAAGTCGTTGACTCGTCAGACTTTGAAGATTGAATTCACGTGGAATCAGCGATATTATTATATAATAAGTATCAATAATTATCGATCAATACGTAATCATTTTTGACTGACTTGAACCAACTTGAAATGCAGACTTGTTGATGCGATAATGAATACATCGGAATTCAAAGTCGAGTCTACGATGCATGGTATTCTGGACTTTAGACGTGGCCGGTTCACGATGACAATCAAATGATAAGAATGACTATGTAACTTCTCTAAACCTGAATGCATAGTAATTTGACTCGTCCTTCTTGTAATTTTTTTTAATTGTTTGTTTTTATAATTTTTTTTATTCGACCACTGAAAAAATTATTAAATTAATGAATATTTATTTTAATACTGACTAATAAATCATTTATTTAACAAAAAAACAAATAAATATAAATACAGAAACAAATAAATGTTGATATGTTTCGAGAAAGATTTTCTTATATCAAATAAATATTTTTCACATCAAATCAATATTATTAATTTCAAATAAATTTAATTTGCTACTTGGGTTTTAATAAATGATTTATTAGAGGCAGTATTAAAATAAATGTATAAATTAATAAATGTATAAGTCGAATGAAAGAAACACACTTTGTTCGTTTAATTAAAGATTGTTGTCAGTAGAATCGAATGTGACGTTCGACGTTCTTTTATCGCGCAAACGTCAAAGAAAAATCTATAAACTCTAACAAAACGCAGTGAAAATCACTACTTGTTTTCGAAAGGAGACGGGATATTTTGATCGAAGCTATTATTAAATGCAATTTTCTCGTGTTTTTCTTCAATTGCGATTCGTGAGAAAAAACTTGCGCGCGCAAAAAGTGCAGATTAGAGAGAAAGCCTTGAGCTCCTCTGAAGAGACTTCTCACGTATTCGTTAACACGAAAGTATGTATACAAGTGCCAATATTTTCACGGTCACCTAATAATTCTGCCAGAAACAACGACACGTGGCATCGCATATATAATGTTTAAATATTCCTTCCGACAAATCATATACCTAAGAATTATTAATATTGAAATTTCTTTCGCACGTGCTACATTTTTATTAATTTCGACAATTTGGAGTAACACACGTGTAACATATGAATTTTTAAATTCTAGATATTATAAATATTTAACAAACATTATTAATGCAAAATGAATTAATAAATGTACATAACAGAAAAAAAGATTTTGTAAAATTTATTATAAGGGAGAATATATAAATATTGTATAGAGTTTTATAAAATATTAATTATATAGAAAATTAATTCCATAAATGTGGATCACGGAGAAAAAAATATATTTCTGAGAATTTATATAAAAGAAAATATAAATACACATATATGGAATTTGGTAAAATTAATTGAGAATTTTTTTTAGATTGCAGTATCACGTCACATCTCGTCACAAAGCTATACATACGCATATATTTTATCATTGTGACGAGCGATGCAGAAAATTCTGAGAGGCGGTATTAATTGATTACGTATACATTGTCGAAGGCGTGTGCGATTAAACCGGTTTATTTAAGATACCGCAATAAGCACGATATTTTTTTTAGTAGAAATGATAAGCTTAAACAGGTCAGATATACGAAGACTCGTTTTATCGAATTTTCAAATTGTAACGCATACATAGTTTCTTCCAGTTATTTTTTACTTCTAAATGTCTACAGAAATGTTGTCTAAAGAATAATAATACAACAACAATAATCCATCGAAAGAGAAAAATTTAATAAAATTTGATAATTATACAATATAATAAATTTAATTTAATTCGAAATGATGGAAACAAAAATAATAAAGTTCCATAGATTTTCCAATTCTTTGTAGATTAACTTTTTCAGAAATTTAAAATTCTTTGAGATTTTTTCTGGATAGCTCTTAAAGCTACACAGGAATCAGATAACTTCTCAATTATAATAATTTAAAAATTTTTATTAAGCTTGATATCTGTACTCTCTTTCATATATATAAATTTTGAAAAATATATTTTGAAATATATTTATATATATTTTTTAAAATAAATATATAAATATATTGCATATTGCGATGACGCATGTCAGTCATTTTTTATTGTAGCCAATATTTATAATATTTATATTTTATATTTTTCTCACATATAAATTCAAAAATATATACATGCATTTTTCGAGAAAATATAAAAATATTTTGCACATTGCAATGACGCATGTAGAGCGGTGCAAGTTCCCTCGTCGATTAATCGCGCGGGCGCGCGCAGTTTCGGTACGAAAAATGACGTCACGATTCTCGCCATGTGACCGATTTCATTCAAGACGGGCCGCGCTTACGTTACGCACGCGATACAGCTTCGCGTATCGTTATAGCTTAACGTGATGACGCGGGAGACAAATATACATAAGGGTGAGTTAGAAGGGTGAAAATAATTGCTTATCGATCCACGAAACAGTTATGCAAGCTAACAGTAAGAGACGAGAAGAACAATATAAGAAGAATATTTTCATTTATTTTTCAATCATATATATAGTTATTAATATTCATTTTAATAATCTTTAAAGATATATAAATTAGATAAACAATATATTTTTTAATATATAATATTATTTTAATATAATTCTTTTTTAAAGTCTTAATTAATAAAAAATAATATCATATCATATCGTATCATATTACATTATATATCATAAAATATTACAATATAACAATATAAAATCGAGAAGAACAATATAAGAAAAATATTTTAATTTATTTTTCATATAGTTATTAATATTCATTTTAATAATCTTTAAAGATATAAATTAGATATAAACAATATATGTTTTAATATATAATATTATTTTAATATAATATAATTTTTAAAAATCTTTTAAATCTTTTTAAAGTCTTAATTAATAAAAAAATAATATCATATTACATTATATATCATAAAATATTATATATGATATTATATCATATATCATAATATAATTATATATCATATATAATAATATAAAATCGATATAAATTAGAAACGCAATGAATTTTCACGAATCTAATTATTAAAAAAAAGAATGCATCTATTATTGTAAGCTAATAAATAGAATGCATAAATACAAGGTTCTCACTTTATGATCCACATAAATTTTTTGTAACCAGTTTTATGTAACCAGGATGATAACTCGCGCGTTTCTTTCAAGTTTCTAATAGCTTATAAATTATCATGTATAATAGACGGATTTTTTTGTTTCTTTTTCTTCGTATTTATTTTTTTAGACTATCATCAGTCGTTTTATTTGAGCATTTTTATTTAAAAGAATTTTTTCTCTTTTTCAGACACGAGTCCGGGTATAACAAGAAAATTAGGACCCCTTGTTGGCGTAATTGATGTCGGCACACGGACAGTTCGTTTTGTGGTGAGATATAAAATATATCTGTCCGATATAACGCGCGTTATCACAGAATTTCAATATTATAATTTTCCATACTTCTACATATTTGTATACTTACTCAAGTTTAAAATGTAAACGAGAACTTGAGAACGAAAAACATTGTGGCTTTCATCGTAGTAAATAATTATATATAGAGTTAATCTAATCGGTTGATTAGAGTTAATCGACCGATTAGATTAACTCGCGTTGGTGAAACCGGGCCTATGTACTTCTAATCTAATGAATTATAGTTTAATATTGTGTTTTCAATAAAATTTTTCTTATTAATTATATTGTTCCTAGTATTTATGAGTAAAATTTATTTTTGAATGTTTTTTATATAGACAGTTTTTATTAAATATTATTCTTGAAAATTATAGAATTCGAAATTATAAAGTTATTTATAATTTCTAATTAAAATTATAGAATAGGATACATAGGAAAATTTTATTGATTTTAAATTTAAATTAAAAAAAAATAGAACTAATTTTATGTATATTTACTATACATTTTCTTAATAGACATTTTCTAGAATACTATATAAAGAAATCACATTTTTTAAATATTGACAATTAGATCTCAGTCAATTAATTTTAATAATTATTATTTTAAAATAAGAATTCTATTCGTAGGTATTTAACGCGAAGCACGTCGTGGAGGTGACATCTCATCAAGTAGATATCGAACAAATCAGTCCACAGGAGGGATGGGTGGAGCTGGATCCCAAATCGATCATTCTAGCGGTGAAAACCTGCATCAGCGGCGTAAAACTCAAATTAAACCAATTGGGGATGAAGATCGAGGAAATTGTCACAGTGGGTATCACCAATCAGAGAGAAACCACAGTAACATGGGACGCAATCACCGGCGAACCCCTTTATAACGCTATTGGTGAGTACACAGTCTTCTTTTCATAATAATAATTTAAATCTAATTTTTGCCCTGAAAAAGGAAGATCTGAAAAATCATATAAATCGATTTCAAAAAAGTCTAGATTAATTTATTTATCTGAAAAAATCAGCTGAAATCAGCTTCCTGAAAAGAGACCGTTTGCTTTCAGTGTGGTCCGACATCAGAACCGACGCGATGGTGGACCAGATCATAGCAAAGTTCCCGGATCAGAGCAAGAATCATCTGAAACCTCTGTGCGGTCTACCTGTCAGTCCGTACTTCTCCGCTTTGAAGATTCGTTGGCTGAAGGATAATCTGCCGGTTGTCAGGAAGGCAATTCGCGAGAGGCGCTGCAAAGTGGGAACCGTAGATACCTGGGTCATTTGGGTGCGTGACAAAGGAATATTACGCGCGAATCGAGCCTGTAATTGGATTATCGAATTAATTATAACATCCGTTACATTTGACATTAAGGCTCAAAACACATTATTGCTAAAACCATCTGAAGTGATGTTTCATCGAAATATTTTTTCTTAAATTTTTTTTATTTAAACATGGCTTCTAAGAATTTTTAGTGTTTTAATATGGTGAGGAGCCAAGAGCTTTAAAGTGAAATTCTTGTTAATATCAGATGACAATTGAATTATATGTTGCATATTAAAAGAGTCTACCTCGTCATTTCACATTCTGGATAAATAATGATTTTGAGAGGCAAATTCTTTCGATTCTCGTTTTCCTCGAAGAAAATAGAAATTAATGTTAGAACGTCGTTGTAGAATTTGACTGGGGGCAAAGACGGTGGACTTTACATCACCGATGTGACGAACGCGTCGAGGACGATGTTGATGAATATAGAGACGCTGTCTTGGGATCCCACGTTGTGCAGATATTTCGACATTCCTATGCAAATGTTGCCGGAGATCAGGAGTAGCTCCGAGATATACGGCAAAATCTCGTTCCCCGATCTGTCTGGCATCCCCATATCTGGTGTAAGTAAAATAAGAAATGATATCGAGGTAGAGATAACGCGCATTCTTTTATTACATCTGCTTCTGTCATCAGATTTTAGGGAACCAACAGTCAGCTTTGGTAGGGCAAAATTGCCTGAAGAAAGGACAAGCGAAAAACACGTACAGAAGCGGTTGCTTCTTACTCTGTAACACAGGACATACCGTATGTATTACATAATATTGAAATATTCATGGAAAATATTTTATTTGACCAGCAACACGCTTCTCTAACTCTATTAAAATGCCTATCGGTCGTATTATTATCCTTTTAATTTTTTTCCAGAGAGTATACTCTTCTCATGGACTGGTTACGACCGTCGCATATCAGCTGGGTCCGAAAAGCCCACCTGTCTATGCGCTGGAAGGCTCTGTCGCGGTTGCAGGTGCGGCTATTAAATGGCTGCGGGACAACATGAAGCTCATAAAAGACGTCCATGAAAGCGAACACTTGGCGCAAAGCGTATTTAGCACGGGAGACGTATATTTTGTGCCCGCCTTTACCGGATTGTATGCACCTTACTGGCGAAAGGATGCGAGAGGGTGGGCAAACATTATTCAAATTCTTCCCTTTTCTTTCTTATTCCCTTCAGATTTAAAAACTGAAATATTATATATATTTTTTAAATATATTTAATAGTTAATTTAATGGATGCATTTAAAATATCTTGTTTATTTGAAGGATTTTAATCCTGGATGAATTAGTAAAAAAAGAAAAAAATATATATATATAATATATTTATTAGTAATGTATACATGTGTACATTTTATTAATTCATTATATGATATAAATATAAATGATATAAAATATTACATATATTTAAAAAATAATACATAAATATAGAATAAAATATAAAATATGTAAATTATGAAATATATATGGGTTTGAGAAAAATGTTTTTTCTTTCCAGGATAATTTGCGGGCTTACCGCGTTTACCACGAAGCAACACATAATCAGAGCGTCCCTTGAAGCGGTCTGTTTTCAAACCAGAGATATCCTCGAGGCGATGCACAAGGATTGCGGATTTCCATTAACAAAATTAAATACGGATGGCAAGATGTCGACCAATAATCTTCTTATGCAACTGCAGGCCGATTTGTGTGGTACACCAGTATGTAAGTGTATTAATTGTAAATTATGTAATAATACTTAATTTTATTTTTATTTCTATTTTATTTTTTCTGAATATTATTAATTGTACTTATATCTTGATATGTGTCCAGTTAGGTCGACTTTGCCTGATATGACGGCTCTAGGCGTAGCGATGGCCGCAGGACACGCTGAAGGGATAGATGTTTGGGACCTGGAAGGCGAGGAAGTGGAAACAGTGCCGACTGATACTTTTTTGCCCACCACCACGCCGGAAGGTAGATGAGTTTTCGAGCTAAAGAATTTAAATTCTTCACAACTTATTTTTCTATAAATATATAATTATATCTTCTTTATAATATATATTTTATAATTTCTATAGAAAATAAAAATGCGATAGTTACAATTTTCTTTTCTTTCATAGAGAGGGACGCGAGATACAAAAAATGGAAAATGGCGGTAGAAAGAAGCTTAGGTTGGGCGACAGTGAAGAAGTCTGATCAAATGACAGGTAAGTGTAAAACCGTTGTACAAAAAGATCCGAAATAATATAATTAAAGCTACTGTGTCAATTAATTAAGATACAATAATGATTATTTGTATAGATTAACTTTGCAGAGATTAATTCTAATTTTTTATAAGAAAATAATATGCTTCAAATTTTTAAACATATTAAATTGAAAAGTTGTTTATAATTTTTGATAATATTCGATAATAACAAATATATAAATCGTTCTTATATTGTTTCACATAAATTGTACAATTATACATGCAATATATTTATTTATTTATTTATTTAATGTTTCAGATGAAAGATACTGCATACTAGCATCCATTCCTGCGACCTGTTTTATTATGACAAGTTTCATTCTGTTGCAATTAAGTCATTATATAGTGAACCGGTGACAGCAAATTAACACTGTCGAAGCACAAAGTTACTCTAGTTGTCAGATAGTCCTGATTCCAGAAGAAAATATAGCAAAGTGACATTTCAAACTTGCTCAACTGATGCACGTAAGTAATGCGTATGTCGATGAGTAATGTATTACGAAATAATTAGAGAGATAAAAATTACTGTGGATTAGAGATGCATTCTATAGATTTCAGTGCGCCTTATCAACGCACTATATTCGATAAAATCAAAATAAAATATATCTTGGTCTCTGGTTTCCCAAGCTTGCAAGTTCAATAGTGCAGTTACTGCAGTAAATAAAAATCGTCATAATGTACACTTAAATGCAGTTGAATGCACTGGTGTACATTAAAAGTTATTGCACACAAATTTACGATGTCATAAATAATTAATAGTAAGAACTAATATTATTGGTTCAATATGAGTAATGATAATAATAAGTCGTACACACACAACTATAATTATTTTGCTCTTTTCATTATTTATTCTATTGTAAATTTGTGTACAGTAACATATGCATTAATGCACACTACAGTGCATCCAATCGAATTCACTATTATATCTCTCTCGACACAATTTAATTTTACATTATTTGTAATAATAATATTGCAGAGTGATATCTGTAGAATATTATAAGTTTACTTTATCATGTACGATCCCTCCTATTCTTTTTTATTATTTATTGTGTAAAAAAATCTATTTGTATAAAATTTTATATTATGTATATTAATATAGGTATCTCCTGTTTCACTCGTGATTTTTTGTGATGCGAATTTTACATCTTTTATTGTTAAATTGTTAACGTCATGAATGCATTTATATATTTTTTTAAAGTCCGAATGGATTCTTGAACATAGTGTTTGAGTTATTCAATACTTTGAATGCATTCTTGATAAGTGTAAAATTTGCTCACTGTAGCGAAGTTTTAAGTTCAATATGTACTTGATGTAGACTAAACATAATTTTAAGTAATTTCAAGAAAATAAAGTTGTTTTATCTAAAATAAAAAAAGCGATATGTTAACTTTGATAATTTAAGTTAAGATAGGAAGAGAAGCGATTGTTTTCCCGCTAGATAATTATTTAGATTTTATCCAAATAATGAAAACACTGATAATGATAGAAAGCAAGCTTTTATTATTAGTATTAAAGATACAGATCTACAATCTTGATTGACATGAAACACATGTGAAGTGTTTTTTTGTTAAAAAGAAATTAAAAATCTAAAGTAGTGTCTAAAACTCTGTCTTTCGTAAAATAATTTACTTTTGTTATGCTGACGAATATTTTTCGTTAATCGCTCAAAATAATTTTTCATTATACCGACAAATATTTTTCTGTCAAAATTTCATAAATTTCGAGTCGAGAAAAAAATAGAATAAATGTTCTTCTATAGAAGACAAAATTTGTCATTTAAATCACGCAAAATATAATTTATAAATTTTTAAATATAAATTATCTTCTAATTAATTTTTGTTATGCCGACAAATATTTTCGCTGAAATATCTATATTTATTCCTCGAGATATATAAATTTCGAGTCTGAAAAAATTCCAAGCAAGAGCAATATATATATTTTTTCTCGACAAATATAAATTGTAAATCTTAAAAAATTTCACGCAAGAATAATTTTAAACGAATGAAGTATCTACAACATTTTTCCCACGAATATAAATGTCAAGATATAAATTATAAATCTCAAGAATATTCCGTACGAGAGAATAAAATTTTAAACGAAAAAAAAAAAAAAAAAAAAAGATTTTACGCGCGGGACCACGTGGGGCGCGAGTTTGACGTTTGACATTTGACGTTTCGAATCGCGCGCGCAGGCGCGGCGGCGCCACCTGGCGGCGACTCGGCGAATTACGGCGCCGCCGCGCTCCGGCCTGTCACGAAGAATCGCCAGTTCGCGTCAGTATCATCGATAGTCGCCGCGAGTCGTCGTGGAGCACATCCGGAGGAGCTCCCCGTGGAGGGCCTCGTCGCCGCGTTTCTCTCTCTCCCGCCGCCCGTCTACGTACACGTATATAATATAATAATGTACGCGCGCGTACGTGTATATGTATGTGCTCGCGCGCGTGGCCAAGTGAGATAAATTAGGATGCGGTATCGCGCGAGGTTCCGGTGCTGCTGCTGCTGCATCCCGTGGCTCCGCGGGAACGTTCTCGTGGCCGCGGCCGCGTCCCGTTGAGAGAGGTAGATATGCTGCGCGACGACGCTGTTCGTACTCCCGACGAGCAGCAGCGGTGCCGTATGTGTGCGTGCACGGGTTAAGCTCGAGTATTAACAACGTCACCGTCGTGCTCTTCTTCGTAGGGTGTAAGATCAAAGAAGAGGAAGAAAAAGAAGAAGAAGAAGAGAAAGAGAGAGAGAGAGAGGAAGAGGAACGAGTGCTCGTGCATATATATATAATATATATGTGTGTGTGACAGTGTTTTGTGGCCGTGTGTGTGTCTGTGCATATATATGCTTGCGAGAGCGCGGGCAGAGGAACGAGGAAGAGATATTACGCACGCACGCACGTCCGTGTCCGTCAAGATGTCGTCGTCCGGACACAGCAGCCGCGCTCGCGCCGTCCACTCCGTCGGCTCGATCATCCAGAAGCTCCAGGGCCGCTTCGCGGACGCGATGACGCCGCCTAAGCTGTCGACGGACAAGCGTACCCTGGACAAGACCTGGAAGCTGATGGATAAGGTGGTGAAGCTGTGCCAGCATCAGCGGATGAACCTGAAGAACTCGCCCCCGTTCATCCTCGACATCCTGCCGGACACCTATCAGCGATTACGGCTGATCTACAGCAAGTACGAGGACCGGATGCAGGTCCTGCACGGGAACGAGCACTTCTGCGTCTTTATCAACAACTTGATGCGGAAGTGCAAGCAGGCGATCAAGCTGTTCAAGGAGGGCAAGGAGAAGATGTTCGACGAGACGTCACACTATCGCCGTAATCTCACCAAGCTCAGCCTGGTCTTCAGCCACATGCTGTCCGAGCTCAAGGCGATCTTCCCCAACGGGGTCTTCGCCGGCGATCAGTTTCGCATCACCAAGGCCGACGCGGCGGAATTTTGGAGGGAGCGCTTCGGGAACAGGTATGTGGTGTCCTGTCTTCTTCGATGGATCTGATTTTTCTAGCTCAACTGGTTGCACTAGTCTAGAGTTTATCTCTAAAACGGGGTTTGTTATTTATTGCTAAACTGGTGAACTAGTGCAGTAAGTTAGAGAAAACAAAATATACTTGCCTCACTTTAACTTATTGCATCAGTATGCACTAGTTGATCACTTCAGCAATGGAGAACAAACCCATAGATAAATAGGATTTTAGTTAAAGTGTGCACTAGTGTTCACCAATGTAACAATAGAGAATAAATCCTTATCTTTGGGTTTGTTCTCTATTGCTGTACTGAAACCATAAGTTAGAGTAAAACAAAATATACTTGTTTCACTTTAACTTATCACATCAGCATGCACTAGTTCATCAGTGCAGCAACAAAGAACAAATCCAAAGATAAAAAGGATTTGTTTTTTATTGCTACATTGGTGAACTAATGCACACTGATGCAGTAAGTTGGAGTAAAACAAAATATACTCACTCTAACTTATTATACTAGTTCATCAGTGCAGTAATAAAGAACCCAAGATTTTAGTTAAAGTGTACATTTGTTCAACCAATGTAGCAATAAAGAACAAATCCTTTTTATTTTTGGGTTTGTTCTCTATTGCTGCACTAGTAAACTAATGCACTGGTGCAGTAAGTTGGAGTGAAATAAAATATACTTGTCTCACTTTAACTTCTTGCATCAGCATGCATTAATTTATCAGTGCAATGATAGAGAACAAACCCAAAGATAAAGGATTTATTCTTTATTGCACCAGTATGCATTCATTAGTATTGCTACATTAGTGCACTAATTCCTTAGTATTGCTAGTGCAGCAACAGAACAAACCCAAAGATAAAAAGGATTTGTTCTTTATTGCTACATTGGTGAACAAATGCACACTGCTGCGGTAAGTTGGAGTGAAACAAAATATACGTGTCTCATTTTAATTTATTGCACCAATATGCATTAGTTTATCAGTGCAACAATAGAGAACAAACTCAAAGGTCAACTGTAAAGTTAGTGCAGTTGCATGGTTCAGCTGTAAAGAATAGATCTTATATTATTGTTCCTGGAAAAATCCTTTTACACGAGGATCACGGAAAAAGATCAGGGGAACGTGAGAAAACTATAATAATTCAAAATGTCAGATGTTATAGACAGGAGTGACAAGTTTTTAACCCTTCTTTCAATGCATAATTTTTCACATTTTCGTCAATGAATGGATACCCAGGTACTAATCGCGTTTTTATTTCGACACGTTATACTCTGTGACAATTTTTTTTATATTACCTGCGGAACACCGAACATTCTTTCCTATTATATTCCACGAGGTTTTTTCGAATACAAAGGCCCTTTGTATTTTATTTCGGATGGAGAAGAAAGTTTCGATACAGTTTTAACGTTCAGATATCCATCATTCATTGACACATGGGTTAAAATAATATGGAAATATGGAAAAAGTTATAAGTAAAATTATGCGCGATATATATAGAACTTTAAATATTCGAAAAGAGGAGAGACAATTAAAATTGTGGAAGCTGAAGAATGGTTGGAAGGGACGAAGGAATTGAAATATTTTACTACAGGATAGACCTTAGGAATTTTTGATATTCCGTGATAAAATTTTTGAACATGATACTTCAGAATCTGAAAATTCTCAAAGACTATTAAACGTAAAAAATATGACATTTTATCTCTAAATGATCTGAGCCTGTATTACATTTAATGCAAAACTTTCACAATTCATTTTCAAAAGGATGATAAAAGCTTGAATGAAAGATAAGTTTTATCTCGATTTCGATATTTCACAAATATTTTTTTATTACGTTTATATTATTAATCAGAGTTATATTAATAATATAAAAAATAATAGTTATATATTAATAAATAAAGTATATATATATATATATATATATATATATATATATATATATAATTACATCAATAATAGAAAGATCATATAAAAATAGTTACAAAATAGTATTTAAAGTAAATAAATAATAGTAGTAGAATTTAATACTAAAAATGAATAATAAGAATTATATTAACAATATAAAAAAATAATATATATGATTTCTTGGGATAGATTTTTTGTAAGCTAAGGTCGGGGAAAATTTTCGCGAAAAGTTTCTCGCAGTCTCTCAAAATCACACAGACTTGGAAGATTTATTCTATTTGAAAAATGATACACTTTTTTTATCTTTCACAAACACACGCTGTCGATGTTCGCGCGATGTTTCTCTCAGGGTCGGCGAGTCCAAAGCTTCCACTACGTTCATTCATACATTTATCGGGCTACAAGGAAAGTCCATCGGCTTCCATAGGAACTTTACACGGTCACGAGAATCCTGCGGTATTAGACAGGATACAGCTCTAACTTAATATTTTACAAGCATTGCGAATTTTCGCGCAAGTTTTCGGCTCCCTCTCTCTCTCTGATATTGTCCTCGAAACTTTATTATATCCTGCGTCAAAGTTAAAGAAGGGTTCGTCGACTTGGGCGAAAGTTCGAAGAGCAAAAGAGATTTAAAGTCTTTCGAGAATTATTGCGACAATAATATTTCAGTCTTGACACTTTCGTCCAACTTTTCTAAGCTCGAGAGAGATTTATAAGGTAGAAATTTATAAGGCTCTCCGATTTTGATGTGTATATGTAATAAATTAAGAATTTTTTATTATTTAATTATTATTTAAATATATTTTATTTGAGAGGGAAATATAAGAATTAATTAATATAAATTAGGAATCAACTTTTTAAATTTCATTATTCGTTTTGAATATGAATAAATTTTTTTAAATAAATGAAGATTTTTAAATAATTATATTAAATAATTATTTAAAATAATTATAATAAGTAAGGTTGTAAGAGATGCTAGATGTAGAATAATTTATATTAATTAATTAATTATAATAAAGAATTAAGCTTAATTATTAATAAATGATACACATCAAACTAGATCTTTAAATTAATTTCAATTAATTAATTATTTATGTGACAACGAAGACAAGTAAATAAATTCTCCGGTGAATATAATATTAAGAGAGAAGATATTCCAAAATTGACGTAACTTCGAAACTAACGTAACACCTCTATTTCGTGCAGTTATTAAATATGCTGCAATTTCTCAGAACCGACATAAATTTGATCCGTTTAGTTTTAGTTTACTTATTATATAGAAGACTTATAATACGAACATATTCAGTACCTACTCGTTTATATGCTAAATTGGGAACTTGTATCGAGAGTTCTTGAATATATGTACATATTTCACTTTTCAGAAAAAAAGTGCAAATTATATAATCTAAAAATAATAGCAATTATTAATAGAATATGTAAAAATTTAAAAATTTTCTACACTAAAAAAATTGTCAACTTGACTAAACTTTTCAACTAAATTATTATTTTGTTAATTGAACATATATTAGTATTGAAGTCAAATATACGTGTTTTGTTAGATTGAATTTCAATATTTTTATATGTTTAATCAACAAAATATTTAGTCAAGTTTTTTTAGTCAATTTAACAAATTTTATTTATTTAGTGTACGTGTCTATAGATTTTTAAATGTACTGCATTTGTTATCTTCTTTTTCACCTCTATAATTTTCAGTCTTGAAAGTCAATTTTTAGCTGCTTTAAAAAAATTTATTTGCTCGAAGGTATCAAAATGATGACATTATTTTTTAATTAAATTTAAACATCTCTGTGCGAATATTTAACTTTTATTTTAAACTAGGGCAGGGCTAGAAAAAAAACAAATTTTGACGAACTTCTAATCAGCACAGTTGAAAAATTTGTGTTAAGAACAGATATTACATGTCAGAAACGGTCTACAGAAATTTTTGTGTGAATTTAACATAACATGGATATATGTTAAATGGAGACACAAATACTGTGTTAATATTTTAACACAAAATAAATGCAAAACTTTAATTCAAAATTTAAAATAAATTTTGTATAAAAAATTGACAGTTATTTTAATGTAAAAATTAATTAAAAATATGTTAATTTTAGAGTTTATCTCATCCCCACTTATATTATAAAATAAAAGAATCAACATTTTTTCTGTAAATTTTATCAGATAAATCTTGTCACCAATAAAACAGAACATTTATTGTGTAAAATTAAAAATAGATACACATTGTGTTATTTTTACCCCTTTTTTCAATTGTTTTAATAATTTAAGTTCACACGACACTGCAATATATTAAACTAACACATGAGTGTGTTAAATATTTACCGCAAAAGTTTTCACGGGGACCGTTTTTAACAAGTATAAACACAAACTTTCCTACTGTGAGCGAACGCGCGAAAAAAACCAAATAACAAAAGGCGCGTAAGAGTGCAGCACTCGCACACGTGTACGCACCTAACCTAAAATCGGCGCGAAAGGGCGGGAGAGAAAGAGCCGCGAGTGCGAGCGAGCGGGACAACACCGGACGTCTATCGTTGATATTGACATTATTATCGTGCACCGAAAAGCGGGACACGTACACTCGTGTGCACACGCATGCACGAGTCGTGTGGATTCTATAGAAAAGAGAGCGATAGCGGGAGAGAGAGAATGCGTTTTATCGAGCGGAAGCCGTGCTTGCCTGCACGTGCGACGCGCAAGCAAGGTGATGACGTATCGAGAATTCGCGCGCGCGCGAGAAGAAAGAGGGAGGGCGAGGAAATCAAGAATTTATTTATTTATTTTTACGAGAAAATACCCTGTTCTTTACTTTTTCCTTTTTTTTTTATTTATTTAGCGAGAAAGAAGTCGTGCTTGAAATGAGACAGGATGTTCTGTACTTAGGTGGAGACTAGTGCTATTGTATTTCTTTAAAAAAAATAATAATAAAATTAATTTAAAATTATTTTAAAATGAATTTTAAATTAATTTTAAATTATTCTTTAAAAGATTCTTTAAATAATTAATAATATTAATAACGTACAAACATCCGCATCGGCTCACATAGCCTGTTTATTATAATATTATTCGAGTTCTT